ACACACGGACAGACAGACAGACAGACGGACAGACAGACAGGCAGACAGACAGACAGACAAACAGACAGACAGAGAAAAGGCGTGCACGTCAGAGGTGCGTTGGCAAGATGTGAAGTGGGACTGGTGAAACCACGAGCGTGCTAAGCGTGGCACCGGAGGAATCCGAAGGAGGAAGCGGAATAAAACGAGAGAAGCGCGACTTGGAGAAGCGAAATGGGCGAACGGGTCGGAGGGGCGAATATGGGGACGAATGGAATGGGGGCAAGGGGGGAAGAGCGACATGGACGGAGGGGTGAACGGACAGAGGGGTGGGCGGGAAACAAGGGGGGAGCAGCAGCCAGAGCAGCCAGAGAAGGAGGAGCAGGAGGAGCGGGACGATCAGAGGAAGACGGAGGAGGGGAGGGAAAGAAGGGAGCGCCAACGACAAGGAAAGACTCTGATCCAGCATGAGCGCCGCACATAACGACGGGAGCAGAGCACCGATCCTGAAATGTGGACAGCGCTGCAGCGGGAGCACCATGTTTTGAAGGGCCGAGAGAACCCCTCTGTAACCCCCAGCGTTGGAAGCCACACGTCTGAAGCCCCGTGAGCAAACAAAAAAGCACGCGAGAGAAGCGGTGGCACCACCTCACGGGACCACAGCAGAGAGGAGCGTCGTGCTCATGTCGGCCGCCTCTCTGACGCTGGGCTTCTCAGCTGAGCAAGAACTTGCGGTGGACAAACCTCCCTTTAGTAAACCTCCCCTTAGTGCAAACGGCGTGGGACCGAAACCGACGGGCCTGGACCCGCAAAAGTGACGGCCGCGACGCCGTCTCGCGAACCGAGAACGGCCATTTCACTCATCGACGTGTCAGGGTAGGAGGTCCATCCACCCCCGAAAAAATCGTGCTCGTGTGGCGCGCCTTGTGGACGAAGGGCTCTCACCCCCTTCCTGGTGAGCGCGGGCGCGCTCCGCAGGGGGCGACCCGGCCCAGCGCCGCCCTCGCGCCCTGCCCCTCCCGCTCCTTCACCTCCTTGCCTTAGGTCGGGCCTGTCCCCCTACAGGGGGATTTCGGACGACAAAGAAAAAATGCTCAAAAGATGCGCCCAAAAATATTCAAAAAATAGTCACCTGACTATTTTTGACTACTTTTGAAGATCCCCCCTGTAGAGGGACAGGCCCGACTTGATCCTTGCCCGTCCACGTCCGCCCCTCACTCCCCTGCCCCCTCGCCCCACACCGTGCAAATGGAGAGGCGCGCCGGTCGCCACCGCCAGCACCACCGACAGTGGTCAGCCAGCTGTCCTGCCACCCACGCTGCCTGCTATCATAGCTCTGCCCTCGGGATGGCCAATCGGCGCGCGTGGCCACCATCTTGAGTATCTCGCCGAGCTCGGGCCGTTCATATGTGCATCTGCCGCCCACTGGGCGCGACAGCAGGACGACCAGGTCTCTGGCGTGATCGCCGTCGTCATCCTTGCCGTCGCCATGGCCATCGCCGTCGCCGCTCTCGTCGCCGTCTCACAAGACGGTGCCGTCGTGGCTCGAAACGTCGGGGCTTCGCCAGCCCGGGGCGCTCCTCAGGAGGCATGAAGTCGGCGATGTCTGGCCCTCCCGCCATGCCGGCTGCTGTCGTGCGCGGGGACCTGCTTATGCAAGAGGGCGGGCCCGCCTTTAGCGCCTCCCCCTCCTATCCTTCAACCTCTCCGTCCGTCCTCGTCCTTGTCGTCCTCCTCCTGCGCAGATCTGGCCACGACACTGTCGAAAGACAGGCCACAACGCGAATGGACCAAATGAGCGAGGGCAGAATCGAATCATTGCCACAGCATCTTGTGCCTCTGGACGGCGCCGGTCAGGGTCTCGCTGGCGTTCCTCTGGAACGGGCTGCTGCAACTTGGAGAGATTGCTGTGCGGAGGACGCATGCCAACTAACTGAGCCCACTTTTCATCCACGAGCCTGAACGATCCTGACCCTCCTCATTTCAAGCGTCATAGCCAGTGCGAATGAATGTCGAAGGATCCAGGGCAACGGCACCCGAGGGCTTCGAAGCGTGGGCCCACGGGCCTAAAATCCTTGCGGACTCCGGTGCGTTCAAATGACAGGCCGCACTAGCGTATGCAATGCAGCCTCCGCGACGGAGGCCTCGATCCCTGCCATGGCCATCCCAACTGACCCTTCGAGATCCACGCGGGTCTCAACCATCGCCATTCTGGCAAATTCGTTGGCTCGACACGGGTCTCTGCTCGTTGGTTCCAGACACGTAGAGGAATCGGCGCTGATCCTTGCACTCCGGTTCCAGGAACTGGGCCAGCCCCACGCTGGTCACTGCAGCTTGAATCTGAGATGTGGTGGAATCCTGCCACAAAGGACGCGGTGCTCCCTGCACCTTGGATCTGGGATCGTGGTTGGAAGATCGCTGCTCCCTGTACCTCGATTCTGGGAATCTGCCAATGCAATGCCTGCACCGTGGTTCCTGGAATCCGGTTGGGATCGACTGCACCGTGGCCCTCGGCTGGCTCGACGCCCGTCCCTGCGCACTGGTTCTTGGCAGGAGGGAACATGCAGGAGGAAGTGAGCGGAGGAAGGAGGTACAGTCGGGACGTTGACCTAAGGAACGATACATAAGGAACGAGGTCCCTTTTTCCCATAAGTTAAACTCAGATGTTCGGTGGAAAACCTCCGGAAAACCCAAGAAGCACGGTGAAACAACTAAGGAACACGGAGCCCCTCCCAAACGAAAAGCGGCCCGACCGTAGGTCGGTCGACCCCAGGACTGCGAGTGGCTCCGTCGGCCGACGCTCCTCCCAGGGGGGGAGGGCCCCAGAGGCAGCCAACAGCCCGGGGACGGCGCCCGGGCGCCGACGACAAACAAAGCGCCAGGAAGGCACGACAAGAGAACCCGACTCCTCGACCCTCGCCCCCCAATCTTTGTGGGCACCGGAAACGGCAGGGCCATTGTTTCACCGTTTCCAATAAAATGTCCCTTGAAAATGGAAACGGCAAAAAAACGACGACCAGAAACGGCAAAAAAAACGGCTCCAGGATCGGAACGGGAGCCGGAACCGGTCAAAAACCGGCGACGGAACCGGTAAACAACCGGCGTCGGAGCCGGCAACAAGACGGCCAAACGGAACCGGTAAAAAACACGGCCCTGCCGATTCCAGGGCCCACTAAGTCCTCGTCCCCCAATCCTCAAAAAAAAGTACAGGGAGGAGGCCGCGCGGGCGCGCCGGGCAGCAGCAGCGGCGCACAGGGGCCCGCGTGGCGCCGCGCGCGCGGGGCGCGCGCGGCTCGCCGCCCCGCGGCGCGCCGCTGCGGCGTGGCGGCGAGCACGTGCAGGAGCTGGGCGCCACGCGGGCACGCCGGGGCACCGAGCACTGCCTCGCGCCCCCCGGGCGCCCCCCGGGCGCCCCTCCCCTCCCCTGCAGGGTGCCCCCTCGTGCCCCTCGCGGCCTCCCCCACCCGGGGTGCCCCTGCCCCACGTTCAACACTTTCCCCACCTGCCCCCTCCTCCCTCGAGCACCCATCGCTCGTCATCTCTCAAGCTCATCCTCCCAACTTCCCTCCTGCTTCTCCATGTTCCACCCTATATCATCCCTCTCCCTCCTTCGCGTCTCTCGTCCCCTTCTCCTCAACCCAGACGGGCCACTGCGCAACACTCAGACGCGCTTGACGTAATGAGTTGGATTAAACGACTGACCTGGACAGGACTTGAGGGCACCCGTGGCTTCTGCGGCCCGCTCCTGTTGAGTTGCATTCATTTGTGGCAGATGCCCCCGTAACCCTCGTCCTCGTCCTCGTTCTCTTCGTCCTCGTCCTGGTCCTCCCCTTTCTTACTAGTCATCTTGCTCTCCTCCCTCATCCTCGTCGTCCCCTCAAGCCCCAAAGCGCATGCCCTGTCGGACTTCGAGGCTTTGCGAGGGCAGACTGCGACGACAGGCAAGTGTGATAATTACGGGCGCTGCGTGGCCCATCGGCCCACCCAAAAACCCAAACCTCGAGGGAGGAGGGTGAAGGAAGGTGAGGAGGAGGGGATGCTGCTGTTTCCCGCCATCACCGATCCTAGATCAGGATGAGCCCTGGTCAAGAAAATCCCCCGTCGCGCCGCTGACAACTCAAGACAACCTCAAGGAAATCCCCCGTCGCGCCCCTCGCGCCGTCAGCCTCCGTCGTCGCGTCGCTCGCGCCGATATGCGCCACGCCCGCTGGCCCTCTACAAACTTTGCGACATCCAAGGCGTCCTTGAGACTGCGCCTCCGCGCCCGCCACGTCCACGCCGTATGTGTCACAGCCAGCTGGATTGCCGCTCGCGTGCATGCACTGGGCTCCCACGGCGGCCCTCGCCCACAAACATTCACAGGCTTGCGGAAGCGTCCGCAAGAGCTAACAAGACAAGCGTTGGTGGTCACTGCCAGGCGCTCAGAAAGAGCCCAATCACAAGCGTCGACGAGCGGTCACGAGCGCCATGCGGGAGCACCAGAGGCATGGGGCGATCGGCAAAGAAACAATCAGAGGTAGATTACGTAGTTGGCCTGGATATTTCCCCGCGGTCAATTCCATTGAGAGTCCAGGTGGGGTGCCACGTTCTAACCCCTCGTTCGCGTTTGACGAGCTTCGATTCACAGAACCTACCCGACAGATCCTCGAAGACATTCCGCGCATTCGCTCTGGGCGCAACTCGCGGACGTCGCGGCCGCAAATGCTGAACACCGGCCGCCCTCTATTGGTCGCTCCGAATCGACCGCGCTGTCGGGTCCGAACACTCCGGTGGCCAAGATGTGGCCAGAACCGTCTTCGATGGTCCGCACTTCACCGGCCGCGACGCTGAACGCCTCGCAGCTGGGCAGTACGGCGATGGCCTTGAGGCCGGGTGCAAGCTTGCATGTCGCAACAGGGGCACGCAGCATCGACACTGTTTGGTCAGCAGCGAAGGCAGACGCCAACGCGTTCTAATGGCGCAATCACGCGAATCGGGTTCCATGCTGCTCGTTGTGATATCGTGTGACACTCGGACGTTTTGGAGGCGCGTCCGTGACACTCATGGAACACAAAGCTGGCCAGAGTCATAGGGCTAACGTTTACAATAATACTCGGTTGACAACCTTCCTCCTAAACAATATGACGGTTCACGCGCATATCTGAGACATCGAGAATCTGAACCTCCCGCAATTTGAAGACACGCACATGCAACACGAGCTTCAAAAGGTTTCGGCAACTGGGGGCTTCCGACCAAGCGATTGCTGATAGGAGAATCTGCAGCCAACGCTTGGCAAGCCCAATCTTTTACGCTGCCCCCCCAACCGCGACCTCACACCCCAGGAGGGCATGGGGCCCTCACCAGATGTACTGTTTCACCTGAGTCAAAGACGCTCATCACGAATCCCCCATGGTATTGAAGAGACGGCCACCCGTCTTGCGCTGCATCCGTAGAGGGATGCAAGCAGGACGTGGATCGTGCACATCATAGCATTAGGGAATATCGCAGACGAAATGCCCAAAACTTCGACCAACGCGATTTCGAATACCTCTCCATCCTGGTCCTGCTGAGGTCAGTCGACGCCTTCTCTTGAAGAGAAGACCCTGAACTTCTAGACGTGAGGGTTACATGATCCTGGCCTGGCGAAAAACACTCAGAAATGAACGAATGCAAATGCATTGTCCGAGCTGAGAACATTGGCGCTGGCTCGCAACAGGCGGTCAGCAGCCGCAGCCCCCCCCCCGTCATGGGGAACCGGCCGCCGTTCATGTTATCGATGGCCCAATGGTCCGACAGCGCCACCGCACGGCCTTCATCCCGAGGGCGAGCGCCGCGGCGCGTGCAGGCCATCTCCGCCCGCCGCGCTCGGACTAGAGCAGCCGCCTGGCCAGCGCAGGACATCTCCGCCCGCCGCGCGGGCAGTCGCCAACTGCTGGGCACTCGTCGAAACCGCTGGCGCGCCCCGCGCCGCTGCAGGGCGCGTCAGCGAGGCTCGCGCTGGACCGGAATGGCTGAAAGAGGAGGGAGGAGGGAGGAGGAAGATCTGTGTGCTCCCAGGGCGCCGCGGTCTGCGAACAAGCGCAGCGGACACTTCGTGAGAGCACGACGAGCGACGGAACCTTCACGAGAGCACGGCGCGGGCCTCGGGAGATCCGCGGAGAAGTCTAGGCACCACACCACGGACTGCAACCCACGATTGCCCAATCTCAGTAAGTCCTGCTCATCGGCTGCAGAAGATTCCTCAGGCCTGCGCTCCTATCGCTCCGCACAGTAGAGGTAATGGAGGTGACGTTGAGAGCAGACATGGCAACAACCTTGGATGGCGCAGTGCGAGAGATGACTGTACCGTCGGGCGAAGACCAGATTGACGGGTCAAAGTGTGATGCCGGCACACACACACACTGCTACCTAGAGGATATGAGTGCCAACCTTTTCGGGACGACACGGGCCAGATCAGGCAAGTCCAGGACGCAGAGGCTACAAATGGCACGAGGGTAGACAATGGAATGGGCAATTCATATAAGGCTCTTGATGGCCTGTTCGGCGCTACTGTACATACTGCATTGCCTCCTGCGCACTGAGCACAGCGAAAGTGTAAGTACAACGTTAAACACTTCTTGAAACAAATGCTCGCTTCGGAGGGAGACCAAGACCATACGGGCTGCCGAAACACTAAGTGTATGGCCGTGAGCAAGCCACTCGCCCAATCGACATGCACCAAACACACTCAAGAAACTCGGCCAGAGCCTCCAGATCGGCCGGTGCTTGTCGGTTTCTGGTCAACGTACTCCTGATCATCCACCTCCTCCTCCCATCTTCCTCGATATAGTGGTTCTTATTATGATCGTCCGTTGCACGCACTTGTCACTCTGCATTCCCCTGATCCAGACGATGGAACACATAAAGCCTTCATGCAAAGTTCTGGGCTAGCGCATCGGAAGCAACTATGCGCAGATCCAAGCATCACTAGACCAAACTAACGTAGAAACATAATCTAGGAATGTGCCGAAGCCTCGATGGTGGACCGAGCAGGTCGATCTATGTACGCCGCATGCTGCACATCGCTGCTGAGTCTCTGCCACTCCTCTACGCCATCATCCTTCGCCTCGCCTTCATCCTGCACATGTCGACAGACAACATGTTGCCCAATACTGTTCCTTCGCACCATGATCCTCACCATCATCAAGTTCCACATCGCTTCCACCATGTCCATCTGATGACCCTCCTTCTCTCTCTGCCCCCTGCCCCTCCTCATCCTCGTATTATTTCCCGTTCATGTTCTGCCGTCAACCTCATCTCCCTCCACCTTACGCTCCTACTACTTACGTACTACTGGTTCTCATGCTATACCTCCTCCTCCTCGTCCGCATCTCCAAGCCCACTCGTTTTCCCCCTTCTCAATCGTCCTCCTCTTAGTCGTCCTCCATCCCCGACTCCCACAGACCCTCAGAATGTCTTCTTCTCCAAGGCCGCTGGCCACGGACCACGCCTTCCTACAATTGGTTGTCCTAGATCGCCGTTATCTAACACACCGTTAGCGTGTCTACGGCTTCTACTACTTCCACTACCCTCCTCCTCCTCCACCACCTTCTCCCCCTCCCCTTCTCCTCCTCCTCCGCCTCCTCCTCCTCCTTCTCCTCCTCCTCCTCCCCCTCCTCCACCTCCTAATAGTATTCGCCACCGTGCCTCCAGCACGTAATGGAATACCCTCAAGTCCTCGGTGGTCTTTCGCCAATGTTAAATAACATGCAGCTTACTTTTCGATACCTGGGCACTCCCAGGAGCCTCTGGCCCCTCCAACGGGCTTCCGCAGCTTCCCGCGTGACCTTTCCCGAGGCCTGGGAATCGAGGCTGGGAGTCCCAGCTTCCAACGTGTTCCAAGAGGGCCTCAGCCGTCTTGGGGGCCCAGGAGTCCGCGCAGGGGGCCAAACTCATCAGATGGCTATTCGAGATTACTCTTTTGCCGGCCCCGCGAGCGGCCAAGACGCCCGCTGCCGAGGTTCCAAGACGGGCCCGAGAAGCATCCAACACGACCCAAAGTGCGAGCCCAAGGGGGGAACCGCGAACGGACCCCAGGGAAATGCATGGGAATCAGCCATCTCATCTCCCCCAAAAGAACCCCAAAAGGCCCGTCATAGGCTTTGAAGGAGCCCTCAGGGGGGCGCCCCCAGATAATACCCTAGAGGGCCCTAAGAGGGCCTCTGAAGCATCCCAAGTGGGCTCAATGAGGCTCACATACACGCACACACACACGCGCACAGACACGCACAACAGAACTTTGAAGTATGTCCATAAGGACATGGCAAGAAATGCGCTGTGGCCTTCCATCGTTCCAACAGCGCCTTGATACACAACCCAAACAATGTGGCGGGATGAGTTGACGGCTACTGGTTCCGCCGCACCCTGCTATCTATCCAGGGGTGTTTTTGAAACCACTTGTTGGCCCTTCCGGCGGGTCCCCAGAGGACCTTCGGCCTGTCCCGCTGCCCCCGCGTCAGGCCGAGGAAGACAGGCAAAGCCTGAACATATCACAGCCAAGGCAGCAACGATGGCCTCCAAGACGGCCCAATAAGGTCCAATATGACCTCCAAGACGCTTCCCAGACGACCGAGATGGCCCCAAGATGGCCCTAAATGGCCCCACGCGTTTTACGGTGCACCGCTGACGAACAGGCTCCAAGGGCAAACAGGTTGCCTGGGACCGAAGGCCAGGGCAGAACATTTACATGTCAGGCCAGGCACTGAGCTTCCTGGAGGGCGGCAAACCTTTACACAGCCGCTTCAGGACCACGCAACCAGCCTGGGTACAGGCGTGGGGACCGAACTCGTCCACTGGGCAACGCCCCCGCAGAGAGACGGGCCTCGAAGTGGCCCAGGCCCCGCATGCCCCACACAAATAAATGGAGGCCTTGCACCACAGCACATGGAATGAGTGGACTGGCTTGCCTGCAACCCACGCCTCAGCCCTGCAAGGCATGGGGTCGAGCCCCAGAGGTCTCCAGAGGGCGTCACACCGCTCGGGCAGGGGTCGGGCAGGCCTCGCCCATGGGCGGTGCAAAACTTGCTGGTCCTCCCCCCCCCCCCCGCGCCCACGCACCACGCAACCGCGCACCACGCCCCCATCCTCCTCAACAGAAGCTGGGCACAGACTGCGCAATCTGGCGCGGATGGCTGGGGCTCCGCCCCGCACTTCCACGGCGCAGGGGCCGCACCTCCAGCGATGCTCAGCAGACGTCCACCTGCGGGTGGCAGACGCAAGGGCCTCAGCGAGCCATCTCCGCCTACGCGCCACCAGGTCGACGGGTTCCTTGACACTGCGCCTGTCGGGCTCAGCACGAAGCGCGGTGCACTCAAGAATGATGGCAGCGCGGCGGGTCAAAACCTGGCATGCCTGAAGCACTAGAGCATTGTAGTCTCTGACCACATCAGGCGGGACCTGCACCTCCGACGCACGATCACCGGCCAAACGGTAAGCCAGTGAGTTCAGAACAACTTGGTGCCAGTCAACGATGTCCTGAAAACGCTCACGCTTCTTTTCATCACCAAGAAGGTGATAAGGAATGTGAGAGAGGCGGACAGAGGCAGGGCGAGAGCCGAGAATCTCCCAGAGCCCCCACCACAAGTCTGAGTTGGCCAACTTGGCGGCGTGTGCTCTTCCACCAGCAAAAGCCTTGACAATGCTAGCATGGTCGGAAACCACGCACAGATCTTGGGCACAGTCAGCGTGACGCGCACACCCCCCGATGGCCACAAGCTCTGCACGCGGCGCAGTTTAACGCTCCGAGTCGACAACGCCTGTTACTGCACAGTCCCAGTCAAACTCCGCCCCAGGGACCATGCGCACGAAGGCAAAAGCGACCCTTCTTGAAACAAGACTCCTCCCAAGAGGCCCCCCAGAGCCGTCGGTTCCGCACAGGCCCCCGGGCAAAGAACCAGGAACGAGGGCTCCCGAGAGCCGCTGGCCACGGAACAACCGAGAGACGGGGGTGGGCGGAAGACGGAACCACGCTCTGGGAATCAATCCCCTCATCCAAAAACAAGGGAACACATTAGCCTCCTGGATGGCCGCGTGCCTAAGGTGCTGAGACTGAACTACATCAGGGCAGACCGACCTGTCATTACACATACACTGCCAGACACGATGCACTGTGGACCCTGGGTCCCGCTTGCAACGCCTACAAATGGGGTCAGGGGCTAACTGGGCGAGGTGCCTTCTCTCCTCAGTCCAGTATCCGCCTGCAGCAACTAGCAGGGCCATGGCAGCAACATCTCGACGGCCTTCCTTTTCAAGAGACGCAACCAGCTCCCAAACGTGGAACAACGAAACAGGACCGTCGATCCCCCTGCCGTCGAGATGTTCAGAGGCCTGTCGCCACTGGCGCTCGTCGATCGATTCGTCGAAGGCTTCTAAGAGGGGGCCCAGGGGTCCTCGGCCCTCGGCCTGCAAGGCCCACTGCTCACCAGAGGGAGAGATCAGCTCGAAAGGCGAAGGGCAAGACCACCCGATGGCAATGACCGAGGCCTGGAAAGCACCCATCGGCCCACGGACCCAGGCTCACCCCCGACGAACCTTCCCGAGCGAAGCTTGCCAGTGACGGTTAAGACGGGCCAAAAGAGCTGTGTTGCCAGCTAACCTAGAGAACCACGATTTGATGATCTTGCGCTAATACATCTGCACGGGATCATGGCCTAAACCAAACGTCAGCCGAATATCAGTGGTAGCACACACTCCGCGCTGCGGGGTCCTGCTGGCCGCTCTAGCCATACTCCTGAGTCCCTGCAGCATCGATGGGGCCATACCCTGGGTCTCTGGAGCCCACGTGGCTTTGGCGAAAGCATTGGGAGAAAACAGCTTGCTGGCACTTCGATTCGTCCTGGAGAACTGAAATATATTATCAGTAGCGTGCCTGCCCTTCTGAAACCTAGTCTTGCGAACGGCCACGGTGCGTCGAGCGCCGAGCGCTGCGTCGTGGCCCAGGTCTCTAGCAGCGAGAGAAACTTGAAAGGAGCACTGATGCTGGGACGCAAGCCCTGACAAAGTGGAACGAAGCCCAGGCGAGGATGCAAGCAGGTGCGATTTATCAAAAGCAATCTGGCACCGCTGCCGTCTGAGGCTAACGAGCAGGGCCTTGAGGAGAACTGGGAAAGTGGCAGCGATGCTGGTGTGCGTGCCAAAAAGCCTGGCCGAGATATCGTCAACCCACTCTCGCAGGCGCAGGCCAGCTACAGACCGATGTGCCACTCCTAAAGGCTCGTGAAGGTGAGCTCGGGCAAGAGAGGTCGCCTGACCACCGCCCGCGAGCGTGCCTCCATGCGCCTTGAGGCCGGCGTGCACAGCGCCTTCTATAGACAAATGACGAACTCCAAGGTACATCTCTACAGCCAGAACCAAGAGCCTCAAGGGATAACCAAGCGGCACAGCCGCGTCGACTAAACCCCCAAGGCGAACCTTGTCATAGTACTTCCTCATTTCTAAAAGGAGTCCGCCAAAAAGGAAACCAGAGTGTAGAGCAAGCTCAGTTTCAAATTCGTCAATCCAATCCGCAGCCTCAGCGGAGCCCCCGACAGTGGCGCCCCATGGGCCGTGGGCTCTATCTTGTCCCAACTCGAGATGTGGGGCTTGCGAATCCGTAAAAACAAAACATAAATCAGGCCGAGAAGCGCGATCGGTCGTTTACCCCCGTCAGGCTTCGGCAAAAGAGCAATTAGAGAAAACAGCTGCTGGAAGGGCAAGGCGCACTGATCCTCGATAGAATGCAGAAGCTCGATTAGGTGCAGCTTGGCATCGTCACTGGCTTGCTTAACCAAGCGCGGCTCCAAAAAATAAATACCTTGGCTCTTATCGGGGATTGAGGTCAAAGCGCGGTTCAACATTTCGAGCGAAATGGGCTCTAGCTGGGGGGATGCTCGAGCCTCGGCTCGAAGCACCGACAGACAAGCTCTGGCTCCTGCGTAACTGTGCTGCGCTGTTGCCTCAAACTCTAAAACTTGCGCCACGGCAGTGCATGGTCCGTCGTCGCCGATTTTCTCAAGGGGGGGGGTCAACGGGGGGCCTCGAGAGACGGTGGGCGGGACCCGCGGACCGATGCAAGGCTTGCTTAAGCCAAGTCTGCCAAGCTACCGTGTGCGCTTTGGGGGCAGCCCGATGCGTTTTGTCAGCGATAGAGGTGGCCTCAGCAACATACAATAACAGGACATCGTGGTTGGCCGAGCCGACAAGCCTCAACCTCCCAAGCCAGACCTCAAAAAGCTGTGTCTGCGCAGGGTCCGCTGGGTCCGACGGCTCAAGGGGCGCCTGCTGAGAAATCCATTCCAGCGTCGCACCATACTGAGCTGTGTTAACTGGCCTGGGCTGGAGGGGGGAGGGGGGGGGGGGGGGGGGGCAGACGGGTCCGCGCCAGCTGAGGCCAGGCGAATTAACAGCTTCAACTGAACAAGAACAGACTGCCACCACCTCGCACTCCGATCAGCAACGCAGGACCCTTCCACCTGGGCGGCGACGAGGGGCACTCCTCTGAGCCTAGGCTGTTGGCACCGACCAACATACTGGAACACCGAGTCTGGCGGAAGGCCCAACTTGGAGAAATCCTCCAGCTCAACAGCGAGGGCCCAACTAGATAACTGCTGGCCGAGAGCGAGCGGCACTTCAGCATTGTCATGCTCCAGGCTGAGCAAGGTAGCCTGGTAGTAATTAGCCCTGAGGAAAGCTGGCCGTCTGCGCTGCAGCAGCTCGGCTTGCGCCAGGTTATGAGGCCATGACATCGCAGGCCCTGCTAGATCCTTGACATGTAGCGCCCTGGGCCCGATGGCCTTCCACACGGCGATGCAACGCGGGGTGCTCACAACACTGAAGCCTAGGGCACAGTGGGTGCCCCATGGAACGGGCGCTAAACCAATGAAAGAGCAATCAGCAGCAACTGGAACAGAAACTAAGGCGTAGTCGATGCGACTGGCGGCGCCCGTGGCGCAGGCGACCGAGACCCCAAGCATGGGAACAGTGATGAGGCCGAGAGGCTCCAGCCAACCCGAGGCTTCGACAATCAGAGCAGGGGCTCCTGCTGCAGACAGGTGCGCACCTAACTCAGCTAGCAACTTCAGGTTGTCGCCCCCGAGCTGCCCACCCGCGTGGAGGTAGACGGGCACGATGGTGAGCGAGATGTGCCGCAGCCGCAAGGTCGACAGCAGGCGCCGACCTGTCCCAACGTCAGACCACTCACCAGCAGCGTACGTCAATCCAGATAGGCCCAGATGGGAACGAGCAATGACCATGACCCCAGACGACGAGTCATTTGCATCAGTGCGGTGAGCTTCCTGGGCGACGACCTTTCACCCGAGCTTGTGCAACTTCTTGACCATGACTTGAAACTTCAAAGCGCGCTGCCTGTGCTCCACAAAGAGTATGATGTCGGCATTGGTTGCTTGCACCCACCAAAGCGCGGTGGGCCCCCAAACTGAGATATTGGAATGCACGATAGATAGCTTCTTGGGCTCACTCGGCGGGTCAGGGCGGCCACTGGGCTGTCGCCGCCTCTCGCCTTGCGGGCTGCAAGCTCCATCGGGAACGTGACTCCCCCATGGCCTCGGCCGCCTTAGCCTGGGCCTTGGCGAGGGGGCCCTTCCTGAGGGCCTCAACCTTCGCCTGCTTGTCAGACACCACCTGCGCCGTCGGAGCCTGGGCTGCACTGGCCGCCGCCGCGCCCGCCGCCGCCGCAGCGGGCCCTCCGCCGTCGGCGGGGGCTGGCGGCGCAGGGGGGGCGCCCCCTCCAGCCGCAGCGCCAACGCCTGCGAGGGGGGCGGCACGGCCGCCCGCGTCGGCCTGCGCGGCTGCTGCAGGCTCAGGTGGGGCTCCACAGGCGGCAGGCGCAGCATCGCCGCCAAGCTTGCGGCGCTTGCGGAGCTCGCCCATACGCCTGAGGTACTCGGCGTGGTGTGCATGGGTCTGATCCTTGACCTTCGTGAGGGCATCATGAAGAAGAGCCGCCACCTTGGAGGGCTGCTCCTTCTGGAAGGCTGCGAACTGGTGACGGTCACCATCCGAGAAGGCGGGGCCAGAAAGATCGATCTGATCGCCGAAATCGAGCGTGAGCTCGTCTGCACTGCCCTTGAAGAGGTTAGAAATGTTGATGACGTTGGGATTGGCCTTCTCCTTGAGTACACCAGCTGTCAAGGCTCTGGCGGCGTGTTCCAACTCCTTCTCAGCACGACTGTCATCCTCCATGAGCCTCTCAAGGGTGAGGTTGGGCTCCGTGACCTGTCGATCCAACTCCACACGTTTCGCCATGGCACGCTCCAACTTGTCGGCCACTGACTTGCGATGCTGCTGAGCAAGATTCCAAGCCGCCTGCGTGGACCGAGGAGCTTTGGCTGCAGACTCCATGGGAAGGAAAGGCGCCAGCAACTTCTGAGCCTGAGCCGCGGGCAGTGCACCAACAATTTCCCTGACCATCGTGAGGGTGTCGGGCGGCAGGCTGGCTGGGGCCTAACCTCTCCTCCACCTCCCCTTGGCATTCGCAGGGGCAGCGGAGGACCCGTCCTGGGAGGCTGGTGACTGTCCTGCATGCGCACGAGGAGGGGCTCGCGCTGGGTCGCAGATGTCCTGGCAGCCGGCGCATAACCATTTGCGCTTGGCCAGTAGGTCATTCCATGTCCAGTGGCCGCAAGCGCACACAGTGTAATCACCACCACGATACCGTTGCGCACGGCGCTTGCCGCCACCACGCCCGATGCGCACCCACGGCTCGTAGTGCCACGACCCTTGGTCGGTAGCATCCTGGACCATCTGCGAGAATCCCTGGCCTGGAGCAGGCAAGGGGGAAGCGTCGTGGTGCTCCGAGGAGCACACAAAGCTGCGTCGCCTGGGCGGCTCACGCAGCGGTGCGATGAAAAGCGAAAGCTGGCCGAGGACTAGCGGTATCCACGTGTTTCGCAGAGAAACACAAAACCTTGAGCCAAAGTGGCCCCACGCGGATCCATCAGGCTATCTTGGGACCTTGGGCAGTCGTGGAGACCCTTAGTTTGGAGACAAGCATGTTGAAAATCTTAGGTCGTGCAACGTTTGTCGGATCGTCTTCTGCTTGGTCGCTCGAGCGTCCGAGGCGGCCAACGCACCTCCAAAAGCAGCTGAAGATGGTCCAACGATTCCCCAAGATAGCCCCAATGCTGCCCCAAGACAACCCATGAGGGCCTCAGGATGGCGCTCGAGAGCCCCAACACTGCCATGAATTCCCCAAGAAGCCCCCAAGACGGCCAATAGAAAACCCTGCAAACGATCCTCGAAATATGCTGTGCTTCCCAGGGCTAACACCAAAACATGAACGCAACCACGCGCAGATTCTGTTGACCTTAGCTCTGGGATCCTGGCCCTGGCCCGCCAAATGCTCTTCCGCCACCTCCACTGGCTGCTCCGTCTCACCCTGCTGCCACGCCAACTCTGCACAGTATCATTAGGATCGCCCCTGCCGTCCTTCTCCTTCTGCTCATACCCGTACGTGATGCCTCAGCGTCTTGATCCTCCATCCTCTTAACCCCACACTGTGGTCGTCGCCCAAATGTGACCCTACAGACGATATCGTAAAGGAGTCGTGCCTACCTCATGTCAATCAATGATGCCTCGCACTTGCTTTTCTCGCTGAAGTATGTCACAGCCACCCCACGAACACCTCAGAAATCCACGCGTAGCTGTCACTCCCGAGTTGCCTCGGGAACGATCACGCGGCGATGTGCTTCGCGTTTGCACCGAGACCGAATGAATGCCCCATATATGCACATCCTCCTGTAGCGCACAGCTGCACTGTTGCCACTTCAGGAGGTCCTGTGGTTTCCTCGACACGTTCTCTCTACGTTGGTCTGCCACGGAACGACCCCACTGGCTCGTTGGGAGGAGGCCTCGCACACATCGGCGGAACATTTAGAACTACACCCTGCGAAATACTTAAGAAATCATGGGTTTAGAAATTCATAATCTCAGAACTTGAATAAAACCCAGAACTTCTATCAGAATCTTGGGATTTACATGGAAACATTAAGAATAATCGAGACTCTCGCCGAAAACTTAAGTTTTCTTCAGCATCGCCTAAGGTGTACAAATGTGGGCTCCCCTGGACTAAACGCTGCGATGATGGCAACCGGGGGAGGAGGGCGGCAACGCAGAGGGACGGGTGGTTCCATCAATCTGCCCCCTCCTCCTCCTCCTCCTCCTCCTCCTCCTCCTCCTCCTCCTCCTGCCTCTCTCCCCTAAGGTCTGTGATTGTCGCAATCACGCACGCGGCACCGCGACACTGGGAGCACCAGTTGGCGCTGCTGCCAGCGCGCGGGCGCAAATGACTCTGGCGAACCCAACAGGAAGATAATGACAATGGCAATATGCATCGATTCATGCGCGTGCCCACACCAAGCCGATCATACGTAACATCATAATATCATGTGCGCGTCAACGTTGTAAAACCCTGTCTGGGTCCTGATTCACGAACCAATTGCCCAAAACAATATCGCCATAATAACCCATGTCAGCAAACTCGGGGGGGCTCGCTCCCCCCATCACTCTTACAGATCGTAAGCGTCGCTTCCGCCTACTGTCCCCTGCTGAACACCCACCTGCTAGCGCTGTATTGCGATCCCCCTTCGTCCTTATCGTCATGATGTGTTCCTCGCAACATCTCGTGACGAATCAAACTGGCAATGCTCAATCGAGTGCATACTCGGTCCATGCGCCGGGCCATTTGAACACAATTTCGTCGTCGTGCCACCGTATGTAAGAATCCTCGTCGAAATCATTGGGGGTGTATTCGACCTCTGACAACATCTCAACCAACATCGATCAAGTACGTCGCACTGCCAGCACCGTGTTGCTCTTGAACCCCCTGTCGCAAACAAGATACAATTCCGCGACAGAGCGTTTTGCTCACGCCGCTAAGATCGACGCATCCGCTGGCACCTTCATGGGGCCTACAGCGCATGAGGGAGGCACATGTAGTCGCCTGATGTGGTGGAATCTCCGTCAACCCACGTCCGCATGAAATGGATAGCAAGGTTAACCCGCCAGTGTTAGAATGCGTCAAGTTTCTGGTAGGGTCTCTGTACGTTTCCGGGGTCGACCTCCCTACTGACGACCGCACCCAGAAAACCACCCCCCCACGATTCTGTATTTTGGCGCTCTTCTTGGCTCCCAGACGACCTAGAAGCGGGTCCAACATCTCTTATGTCGCATGTGCACTCGTAAAAGCGATCCCTGCCTCTCCCCGTACATGTTCTGACAACGACAGCCGAGAGGCTGCCGCTTTCAGCCAAATTACAAGACAGCTCGCCGCTTGGGCCCCAGTGCCAGCCTTAAACAGCGAGCAGAAGGCGGGCGTAGCCCAACACACACTGCGAGGGCCGCCCACTCTAGACCAGAAACTGCGCAACAGGCAGATCCGTCCTGACGCAGGATGCCCCACAGGTTGTGCCGCATCCGAAGCCATGGGTCTCGCAGGTGGTTATATACGACACCAATTGGCTGCGTCATGCGCCACTGGGTGCGCTGTGCGTCACGCCGTGCGTTGCGCCAAACATGGATTTGCCAAGTCTCAGATTGCTTGGACGTCCATTCCATGTGCTCGTTTCGGTTTCGTGCGTGGTTTTTTCGCCAAGTGATCAAGGATGCTCCTCGATGGACCTCGCCGAAAAAAAAATATGCACACGTCCGAGAGACGCAAAGAGTTCTCAGATTGCTCCGGGGGCTGCGCCAAACACTGCACGCTCGGCAGCGGGAGGTAAACACAGCCTGCTGTTGGCTGCGCCGTGGAGGGCGCCCTCGGGGCCGGAGCACAGAACTGCCTGCTATCACTTGCGACACAGGTGGCGCGCGCGGCGGCTGCAAATCAGACGGCCTGCCATCTATTGGGAGTTGCACCCTCGTTGGTCAGAGGCAAGGCTGAACCTAAACAGTGTTTTTCGTTTTCGTTTTGTTATCGTTTTCCCTCGTTTTGTCTTCAATCCGCCATTACCGCAAAACGAAGTCGAAAAGAAAACGGCCCACGAAATCGCCAAAACACCGTTTAGGTCCAACCCTTGTCAGAAGTATGATAGTTCGGTATTGCTTGCTCCACAGACTGTGCACTAGGAGGCCGTAAATACAGCAACCAACCAATGATTGCGCCATTAGTTATAAGTTGCACTCTCGGCAGCAGAAGGACAAACGGCCTGATCACGGGCGCGACCGGTCAGTCAGTCTACCTCGTGGGAAGCACATTCGGGCTGTGCCTGCAAACATTGGTGATGACTAGAGCTGCTCTGCAAACAAATGATGACTGGCGAGTCAGTTGGCAGGGTACACGGATGGAAGATATGGAGCATTTCTAGGTGTGCAGACGCCAGTTCCAGAAATTACCTACCTAACGTGATCGATGACGGATCGACTTGTGGTGCGCATTACTTGAAAAGGCCGTACAACTCTCGTTCGCCTTCGCTCGCAGTGCCAAAGTACCTAATACTAATCGCTGCAAGTGCAATGCTGCAAATCTGCGACACCACAAACACCGACTAGACGAAACATTGTCAATGAAAGATGTCGTGCGTTGCCGAAGGCGTCTGGAATACATTAACCGGAAGGGAGCTACAAGCTGCGTGCAACCCGAGCCGAAAATCCACGCCCGTCACATGAGCGTATCACTTCCGCAAATACCTGCACTGGCAAAGAACGTCAGCAAGCAAATAATATGCCCCCCATCAAAAAAGAGGAACAAGGACAAACATGTACGCTCCATGTTCGAACAGCGTGAGGTCACGTCGGCAGGACGAGACTCACATCGTACGAAACATCAACAATGGGCCACGTGAAGATAGCGCTGGCGCGTTTTGGACACGTGTGCACATGCACGGGGAGCCGTATGGACTGGAGGAGACTGCACTTACCCGCATGCTGAATTTCAGGAACTGCGCCCACCCGATCCGAAGCTCGTTCTGGAATGCGGGGGCCGATAGCCCTTCTCCCCACGGGGAGAGGGAGGGCAGGGAAAGCAGGCAAGAGGATCCTGCCTTCCCCCGTGGCTCTCGAAACAGGCAGGTTGAATAGTAGTGGCAATCGCTGGTAATATCGCCATGAGTTGACCTGTCAGCAAGGGCCTGGAAAAGCCTAATTGGGCTTCTTACCTGATCCGGCTGCTCACACACACACACACATTGCGCTGCTCGTCAATGTGTCGGACGACAGTTCAAGAGGAGGGACCTCCCCGTCAGTCCCCCTCCACCTGATCCCAACCTCGCGCTGTAACAAATCAGCAGCGCGGACGAGGCGGAGACCTGGAGCGTCAAGAGTGGATCCGCGGGCACCTTCCATCGGCGCAGCCAGGCGCAAGCAGTTCACAATCAAGAGGACTCGGATGCTTTCTCCAGCACGCATGATACCCTTGAGATGTGTCGCAGGTCGTGGGATCCCCAAGCTTGTTCCAGCACAGTAGGGTAACAGCATGGAACATGCACGCAGGGGGTTGGTCCGGGACAACCAGCTTGAAATCGCCGAAACTATTCACCTCCTGTTGGTCAGAACTCGCTAAAAATTATCCCAGTGCGACCCTACCTAGGAGTTGGAGCCCCTAGGAAAGCAGCATTAGTAGTAACAGTAAAGCTAAGCTAAAGCTAAGCTAAAGCTAAGCTACAGCTAAGCTACAGCTAAGCTACATCTAAGCTATAGCTAAAGCTAAGGTAAAGCTAAGCTAGAGCTAAGCTAAAGCTAAGCTAAATCTAAGCTAACGCTAAGCTAACGCTAAACTAAAGCTAAGCTAACGCTAAGCTAAAGCTAAGCTGAAACTAAGCTAAAGCTAATATATGATATGCTAAGCTATGCTAAGCTATGCTATGCAACACTGTGCTATGTTATGCTATGCTGTGCTATGCTATGCCATGCTTTGCTATGCTACGCTAAGCTACATTAGGCTAAGCTAAGCTAAGCTAAGGTAAGGTAAGCCAAGCTCAGCTAAGCGAAGCTAAGCCAAGCCAAGCCAAGACGAGATAAGCTAAGCCAAGCTAAGGGGGCGCTATGGTAAGCTATGCTAAGCTATGCTATGCAATACTGTGCTATGGTATGCTATGCTGTGCTATGCCATGCTATGCTACGCTAAGCTAAGCTACATTCGGCTAAGCTAAGCTAGGCTAAGCTAAGCTAAGCTAAGCTAAGCTAAGGTAAGCCAAGCTAAGCTAAGCTAAGCCAAGCTAAGCTAAGCCAAGCTAAGCTAAGACGAGATAAGCTAAGCCAAGCTAAGGGGGCGCGACTGGGGGAACCGCGGGGCGGGGACTGGGGGAACCGCCCGGGGCGCTTTGCACTGCCCGGCCCCTTTAAGCTAAGAGAGTAAGAACCCTCTAGGCAGAGCCTAGGTAGGGAAAAATGTCGTAGCGTGCGGGAAGGCATATCATCGAATCTAGGCCAGAAGAGCGTCCTTGTAGAACGTGAGACCCTCCGCCGACCAAGACCCCCCCCTTATCATCAGATCGCCAAGAGTACCCTTTCGCTGCGTCACGCGATCGTCGCTGCCCAGCCTAGTCGGGGGAGCCATGGGGGGCACTCCCAGTTCCACCGTCAATTCCTTCGGCCGCTCACAAGCCTTCGGGCGCGCAGCCTGGCCCCCGCAACCCTGGCCCCCGCAGCCCCGAAGTGCTCCCGAAGAACACGAGAGGGCGCTCGTCTTCGCGCGGCCAGCATCGACGATCGCGCGGTTGCCGAAACCAGCGCCTGGACATCGGCGAACAAGCGCACAACAGATGCCAAACTGAAGAACATTCGAGGGTACCCTTCCCCAGGATGCACCAGAACAGCCAACAGATACGAAGAACACTAGAGTACCCTCCCTATCACTACCCACGCCCTCGCTGTCCGAAGCCATCGACCGCAACCTCATGGATACACGACGGCGTTGCGCACCCCCCCCGCATGGCAGGATCCGTGTTACCAGACCGCGAGGGCGTGGACATGGATATGTTGTCCGTCGGTCGTGATTGCGGGCGATGCGGTGAGACGTCCCCTATCCCCACACCCACTACACACTCGACGGACCTGGCATCGGCGTGGCCCGAACTGGCTCTCGGCAAGCCGCAGCCTGCCTGCCCCGGTCGGCACACGACTGGGGTGCAAATCTGATCCACCTGCTCCTCCTCAACCCTGCGCCTTCTCCTGCTTCTCCTCCTGCCTCTCCTCCTGTTCCTCCTCCTGCGTCCAGGCCGAAGTCTAAACCTCCAGACTGGCACGTCAGATAGAAGCCGTGCACGTCGGAGGGAGGCATGAAGTAGGGGTAGAGAGAAGGCGACGCGGGTGCCGACACCCATCCACATTAGCGTAACTTGAGATCCCACACGGCCTGCAACGACCGCGCCCACCTCCCCCGCACACGCTCTCTGGTCAGCGCGGCGCTGCACATGCAGCAGCCGGGCCAGGAGGCTGGGCCGCGGCTTATCCCACGTACAGTCGGGCCGCTGACCTAAGGAACCCTAAATAAGGAACGAGGCACCTGTTTTTCCATACATTAAACTTCGAATTCTCGTCGAACACATACGGGAAATCTGAGGCAAGCTGTGAAGCAAGTAAGGAACACGGAGCCCCTCCCCAACGAACAGGGCTCCTTCTCCAGCGACCCGACTGCAGCTGCGCCCTGGCGCGTGGCGAGGAGGCGAGAGGGAAAGCAGAAATAGGGCGCAGATGGAAGAGGCTGTGCAAAGCGCGCCAGCAGACGCCCAACGCTCACATCGCAACTCGACCCGCGGACCCGGCTGGCCAGCAGTCGCCCAACGCACACATCCACCCTGCGAAATGCTTAAGAAATCATGGGTTAAGAAATTCATAGTCTCAGAACTTGAATAAAAAACCCAACATTTCCGTACAAATCTTAGGATTTACATTGAAACATTAAGAATAATCGAGACTCTGGCCGAAACATTAAGTTTTCTTAAGCATCGCCTAAGGTGTCGGGGGACACCCCGGACGCGGGATTAACAAGACATGAGGACCCAGGATGTGAACAAGTCCTCGACCCGACAGCACGAGGGGTCGGCATGCCGACGAAAAAAGAGATGCAACGAATGGAAGCAACCAAGCAACGTACGGTGCTGGCTGCTCCGGGTCGATTGCGACTAGGTTCCCCCGAGCGGGTACTGGGCAATTGCTGGGATCCTGCTGCTCCTGCCCGTGTACACGCGGCAAGGACCAGCAAGCTCTTCACCTGCAGTGTCCCTTGGCACGTTGAGGCGTGCATGGTAGAATGCCAAAAACTCTCTGGTAGGAATTCAGCAGGTCTTCTCAAGACCGCCGCCCCTTCTCGACACGCCTCCCCGTGTGCACCGGCCCACTCTCCCAGGGCTTCTTTGGCGGCCAGGCAATTCCCTGGGACTCTCCAGCGCTATCAAAAGCTTCCAAGACGGCCACAAAGGCCACCAAGGCGGCCAAGATGGCTTAATGTTGCCTCAAAAGTCACCCAGGAAGCGCCCAGTTGATTACAAGCGGCTTCCAACAAGCCCCAACACACCCTTGGTACGCGCTCCAGAAGGCCCTCCAGAAGCCAAAAACACTGATTGTCCTTAGGTGTTTGAATGTGCTTCGCTTTCCACGCTCTCCAGTTGAAGACCAGCCCGCTTACGGTCCTCGAGCCCCAAAATGAGGACCCAAGACCCCGCGACGGCCCCAGAGACCCCCCAGACGGCCAATAGAGACCCAAGACGGCTCAATAGGGCCAAAAGACGACCACACACGGACCCGAGGACCCCCAAGACACCACCACATGCGCCCAAGACAGGCCATCCCAATGAGCCCCTCAAGAAGTGTAGACGAGAGGTGACGAGTGTGCCCCATGCGACGAAGTGGAGACGAGAGGTGCCGCATGTGGCATCCTTGTGGGCTGTACTCGAGGATCACCACACAGAGTGCTTCGCTGGCACGGTGGCGGATTTGCTGCAAGCACCTGGATACATATAGACGTGCGGGGGATCTCAAACTGCGGCAGGTTCGACTTGCGACATAATCCCGCTCTTCGCAACACCGCCCTACTCATGGGCCTGAGCAGGGCATTGGAGGCGACAGCAAGCTCTCCTGGGAAGACCTTCGGAGCGGAGTCCATGAGTAAATACATCAACGTGGGGCCACAAGTTACTGTTCGACGCGGACATGCCATATGTGCATCTCATGCCTGGTGAATTGGACTTCTATGAGCGTCTGAGTACGGACGGGTCTCAGCGACTGAGTACGAGTGCGTCTGAATGTAAGCATGGGTATGAGTGGCCCCTCCTGGCGGCTCCTCATTCAGATGCCCAATGCGTAATGCATTCCACATCGCGACGGCCATAGGGGCCTTGAAAAGAGCATCATTTACTTGGCAGAAGCAAGCGTTTCGCCAGGCAGGCCCACGCAATCTGGACGCGAAAGGGGCCATGTCGTACCACGTGGCGGCTACCTTACTACATGCAACATCGCGATGACCATGGGGCCCTGAAGAGAGACGCGTCTACACACGTCTACCCTGACAAAACAAATGACCCTTCTGCCTGAGAGGTCCCGGCAACATGGACGCGAACGGGCCCGTGCCATCCCCCCCTGGCAGCTCCCCCTTGGGATGCCCAAGTGCCAGGCCTGCTTCATCGCAATGAACCTGGGGATCTAAACTGAGACAGGTCTACCCTCCGAAAAATATCCATTCTGCCTGAAACGTCCCGACAATCTGGGTGACGAGGGGCCCGTGTCATACCCCATGGCGGCTTCCCCTTGGGATGCCCAAGTGCCAGGCTTGCTGCATCGCGATGCTCTGAAACACACATTCAGCCTGAGGTGTCCGGGCAATCTGGGCGCGAACGAGCCCGTACCGTTGGTTCCCCCTTGGGATGCTCAAGTGCCACGACTGTTGCATCACGACGATCATGAGTGGTTATGAGTGTGAGAGTCGAATATGTGTAAGTCTGAGTGAGACTGAATATGAATAAGAGTTAGTCTGAGTGTGAGCGAGTCTGGGTAATAGTGCGATGGGAATGAATTAATCTGAATACAAGTGAGTCAGTTGGTGCCAGTCTGCGTATCAGTCATCTCAGTACGAGTCATTATGAGCACTGAGTGTGAGTCTGAGTTTGGAAGGGTCTGAGAAAGTGAACCTGAGTGAATAAGGCGTGGGCCTGAGCATGAATGAATCTGAGTGGGTGAGTCTTTGTGCAGGTGAGTCTAGACAACAATTCGGAGGGAGGATGCAGGAAGGAGAAAGCCGAGGCGTGACACTAAGAACAAGAAACCCATACGTAGGCTATGGGCAGGCATCCCCCCCCCGTGACTCGTCACTGCGCCACGCCAGCGTGCGCCCTGGCATCCTCAGCTGGGGCCCTCGCTTGGGGCCCCACCCCCTCCCCAGCCGAGGCCTCCTCCTCCTCCTCCTCCTCCTCCTCCTCCTCCTCCGGGCGGACGCAGCGACAGCGGGGAACCGAACCCCCTGGGCCAAGGAACCCCACTCGGCCCGCCCTCGAGCAGCGCCGCCCAGGCACGGAGACGCCGGGGGAGGGCGGCGCGCCCCCCGAGCCCGGGCCTCCTCCTGGGGCGCGCCCTGCGCGCCTACGCTGGCCGGGTCTGGCCTCTAAAACGACGCGAAGATCGGGACAAAATCGGATCGGGATAACCCGAAATCTCCGAGGATCGGCGGGTTTGGAGGATGTACTGGGCGCCGCGGCCGCTCCAGAGCGCTCCGGAACGCTCCGAGAGCGCTCCGGAACGCTCTGGAGCGATGTATCACGATCCTAGCTCCGTTTTAGCCTCCCCCCTGGTGCGGGGGGTGCGGGGCGGGGCGAAGGCCTCACGAATGATCCTGGGAGGCGCGCCCGCCGGGGTCTTCGGAGATGGCGCCGGCTCCAGCGGGCGCCATCTCGACGACGGCGAGTCGTCGGGCAGCCTGGGTGGAGCACGGTCGCGAGGAAAGGGGGGAGGGACGGGGGAAAGGGCGCGAGAGTGGGGGTGCAGGGAGGGGAAAACATGTGCACAACAGGAGGCTGAGGGTGGCTGTGTGTGCGGGGAGGCTAGAGCGCTGCCGGGATGTGACGGAGGCAAGCAGGCGATGCCAAACTCGGGGGCAGGCTGGGTCATGTGAAGCTGGCTGGACTTAGTTAGACCTAGACTTTGGCAATACTCGGCGGGTGAGGAAGCTGGATCGGGCCAGGGAGGAGGTTCAAGTATTGGGTCGGGTTGGAGCTCGGGATTCGGCGAACGGATCGGGCGGGGATGTACAACATGGACGGGTGGGGGGTAAGGTAAGTGGCTGGGTTGGGAATAGGGTTGAGGGAAAACAGGCGACGTGAAGAGCAAGGGAGGGTGAGGCATGATAGGGTAGTGTCGGGTACGGCTGGGGGATGTAATGTTCGGTCAGGTCGTTTGGCTCGCCGCGTCCAGAGTCTTCCTTCTCGTCCTGGGCTTTGCCGATGCGCGCCTGTGGCGGCCAAGCCAAGGAGGCCCACAAATACGAGACGAACCGAGGGCTACGCCGGCAAAATCCGAATCCTATCCTAGACGTTCGACGCTTCAATCAGCCCGCGGTCGCCGACAACAGGAGGCACCCCTTCGGGCATTTAAACCCCTGAGAAGATGGCGAAGGGAGTCAATTCTACAACTCTACACCTTAGATGATATTCATAGATACGCGTACACGTATGAATAGTGTGTATGTATGGATGGATGTATGTATGTGTGTATGTATGTTTGTTTGCATGCCTGTATGTGTGTATGTATGTATGTATGTATGTGTGTATGTGTGTATGTATGTATGTATGTCTGTATGTCTGTGTCTGTCTGTCTGTCTGTATGTATGTATGTATGTATGTATGCATGTATATCGGTATACATGTATGTATGTATGTATGTATGTATGTATGTATGTATGTATGTATGTATGTATGTATGTATGTATGTATGTATGTGTGTGTATGGATGTATGTACGTATGTATGGATGTATGTATGTATGTATGTATGTATGTATGTATGTAGGTGTGTGTATGGTTGTATGTATGTATGTATGTATGTATGCATGTATGTATGTATGTATGCATGTGTGTATGTATGCCTGTATGCATGCATGCATGCATGCATGTATGTATGTATGTATGTATGTATGTATGTATGCATGTAGGTATGTATGTATGTATGTATATATATATATGTGTATGCATGTATGTATGTATGTATGTATGTATGTATGTATGCATGCATGCATGCATGCATGCATGCATGCATGCATGCATGTATGTATGTATGTATGTATGTATGTATGTATGTATGTATGTGTATATATGTGTGTTTGCGTAGTAGAGTGCCCCGAGGTGCATGCAGCCTTCAGAAGTTCAGAATTGCAGACCTTGAAAAAGGCTGGAAGGTCCAGGCACCTGGTTTCACCAAGATTTCTGGGGATCTCAAGGGATTCCCCGGGATTCCCAGGGGATTCCCCGAACTTCCCAGGGATTTCCAAGGATTCCCCAGGCGTGTCGCGCACGTCCTCCGGTAGCGCAGACGGCAAAACATGGGTTCAGACTGCGCCCACAAGGGCCGAAGATGCCTCCGAGAAGGCCCAAGAGTGTCCCAATACGCCCAGAATGGTCTCAACAGGGCTCAAAAGGCCCTGAAGACGTTCCAAGAGTGGTCCAACAGGTGTCCCAAGAGTGGTCCAAGAGGCAAAAATCATTGATTGTCTTTAGGTGTTTGATATTTGTTGGCCTTCTCGCCTTTTCTGCTTTTCGACGCTCCCAAGGACGCCCCAAGACGGCCCCAGAGGCCCCAAAGAGAGCCCCAAGACGCCCCAAGAAGCGCCCAGGACGGCCCACGAGGGCCGAAAGACGGCCCCAAGAGGGGGCTCAGATGGAGAACCCGAGCGGACATTTCGAGCCCTCAGGGGGCCCCAAGAGGGGCCCCTAGAGGCCCCTAAGAAGAGGCACCCAAAGGTTCCCAAGAGGGCCTAAGAGTCTCCGAAGAGGCACCCAAGAGGCCCCCAAAAGGCCCCCAAAATGCTCACAAGAGGCCCCCGAGAGCGCCCCGAAGAGACCCGAAGAAGCATCCCTGAGAACTCTGACCCGAAACCCAGGCACGGTGGCGGGATGGACCGAAAGTCACTTGATCCGCCGCCACCTGTCGATTCATCGCAAGGGTGCCTGGCGTGCTGGACTTCTTACGGTGTTGGTTTTGGTTCTTTGTCCAAAAGAACTCCCCCTGGCGCTTCGGCCCGTCCCGCCGGGGTGCCGGAGGCTCTTCCAAGGCCGCAAACAACCTCAACGTCCACAAACAATTCTCCAAAACGGCTCAAGATGGCCTCCAAGATGGCCATGTTGGCCCAAGATGGCATCCAAGATGGTCCAAGATGGCCTCCAAGTTCGCCCAAGATGGTCCAAGACGGCCTCCAAGACGGCCCAACAGAGTCCAAGACGGCCCAAGACGGCCCAAGAGGCCCCCCAGAGGTCTCCAAGACGGCCCAAGAGGCCTCCAAGAGGTCCTCCAGGAGGGACTGAAGAGGCCCAAATCATTGATTTCCCTTAAGTGTTTGAAGGATTCGGGCAGTTGCGTCTTCTTGGGTTTCCGACGACCCAAGACGGCCCAAGAGGCCCCCAAGATCGCCCCCCACAGCGCCCAAGAGGCCTCCAAGATGGCCACAGGACTGCCCAAGAGGCCCCCAAGACGGCCCCAAGAGGGCACAAAGACGGCCCAAGAGGCCTCCAAGACGCCCAAGATGGCCTCCAAGACGGCCCTGGAGCACCCCAAGAGGGCCCCAAATCGGCCCAGAAAAGCTCGCCGAACGCCTTCCGACGGCGTCAAACGGGCCAGGAGCTCACCAAGATGGCCGAAGTTGGCTCGAAGCTGGCCCAAGACGGCCGAAGCAGCCTCCAAGAGGGCCTCCAGGAAGGCCAAAAAAGGCCAAAAACAGTGATTCGCCGTAGGTTTTTGAAGGATTGTGGCGTTTGCTTCGTTTCGGCCTTCCGACGGCCCGATACGGCCCAAGAGCCCCCAAAGATCGCCCACAGATCGCCCACGAGGCCTCCAAGATGGCCCCAGAACGGCCCTAGAGGCCCCCAAGACGGCCCCAAGAGGCCCCCAAGACGGCCAAGGAGGCCTTTTAAGACGCCCGAGATGGCCTCCAAGACGGCCCTGAAGCATTCCAAGAGGGCCCCAAGTCGGCTCAGAGAGGCTTCCCAAACGGCTTTCGACGGCGTCGGACGGGCCAGGGACCCACCAAGACGGCCGAAGATGGCCATAAGATGACCCAAGGAAGGCCCGAAAAGGCCAAAATTCTTGATTTCCCATGAGTTGTTGAAGGATTGCGGCATTTGCTTTTTTCCTGCCTGCCGACGGCCCGAGACGACCCAAGTGCCCCCAAAAATCGCCCAAGATACCCAAGACGGCCCCAAGAGGCCATCTTGGAGGCCTATTGAGCGATCGTTGGGCGATCTTTGGGGGCACGAACCAAATGTCAAAATTCTTCAAACACCAGGGAAAATCAGTGTTTAGGGGCTTTCTGGCCTTCCTGGAGGCCCTCTTCCAAGATGGCCTCAGGACTGCCCAAGAGGCCCCCAAGACGGCCCCAAGGGGGCACCAAGACGGCCCAAGAGGCCTCTAAGACGCCCAATGAAGCCTCCAAGACTGCCCTGGCAAAGAAGACCCTACGTCGGCCCAGAGAGGCCTCCCTAACGGCTTCCGACGGCGTCAGACGGGCCAGGAGCCAACCAAAACGGCCCAAGATGGCTCTAAGATGGCCTAAGAGGCCTCCAAGAGAGCCCCCAGGAAGGCCCGAAGAAACCGAAATCATGGATTGTCCTTTGATTGTTGAAAGGTTTGGGCATTTGCTTCTTTTCTGCCTTCCGACGGGCCGAGACGGCCCAAGAGCCCGCAAAGATCGCCCAAGAGGTATCCAAGATGGCCACAGAACAGCCCAAGAGGCTCCCAAGACGGCCCGAAGAGGGCACAACGACGGTCCAAGAGGCCTCCAAGACGCCCCAACCAGTTTCCAAGACGGCCCTAGGCCCTAGGGCATTCCAAGAGGGCCCAAAGTCGGCCCAGAGAGGCTCCCAAGACGGCTTCCGACGGCGTCAGACGGGCCAGGAGCCCGCCAAGACGGCCGAAGATTGCCCTAAGTTGGCCCAAGACGGCCCAGAAGGCCTCCAAGAGACCCCAGGAGAGCCCGAAGAAGCCAAAATCATGGATTGTCCTTTGGTTTTTGACGGGTGTTGACATTTGCTTCTTTTCGGCCTTCCGACGGCCCGAGACGGCCCAAGAGCCCCCAAAGATCGCAACCAGAGGCCTCCAGGATGGCCCCAGAGCAACCCAAGAGGCCCCAAGACGGCCCAAGCGGCCTCGAAGACGCCCAAGATAGCCTCCAAGACGGCCCTGGAGCACCCCAAGAGGGCCCCAAGCAGAGTTGCCCCCAAGACGATTTCCTACTGCGTCAGACGGGCTAGGAGCCCACCAAGATGGCCAAAGAGGCCCCCGAGAAGCCCCCGAAGGCCCCCAAGAGGCCTCGAAGAGGGCCCCCAAGATGCCTCCAAGAGGCTCCCAGGAAGATCCCAGGAGGCTCCAAGAGTGTCCCCAGAGGCTTCCACGATGCCCCCTCCTCCTCCTCCATCTCCTCCTCGTCCTCCTTCTCCACCTCCTCCACCTCCTACGCCTCCTCCTGATCTTCCCCGCCATCTTCCCCCACGTGTTCCCCGAAGGGCTTCCACAACGGCCGGGGGAACATATGGTCCGATAGCTTAGAAGAGCTCTTGCCACAACGCTCGGCCACGTGGGCGATTCTAGAAGGCAGGGGGCGGCGGCGATTCGCCGCAGGCGTCTTCGATGGGTACAACACGCGGGGGGGTTTTCCCGTTTTCAAAATCGATGTTCGCTGGGGTGGTTGGTTTGAAACGTATCTTCCATTCCCCTCCCCTGTTGGCTCCTGCGCGCGCGTGCTGGCAAGAGGGAGGGCCGTGCCATGGCTATTTGTGTTCAGGCCGTCTGACGAGCCGGCGAGGCCGGCGAAAGCTCACCACAGAGCGCCTGCAAAACAAGCTATTACATACATCACAGGCGGGAGATCGTCAATTGTTGTATTGTGTGTTTTCATGCCCGTGGGAGGCCCGTGGCCCACCTGCCCGCTTCCTCTCTGTTACCAATGCGCTTCTGCGACGCTTCGAAGTATCACGATGCTGCCTGCCTGACGTCCACTCCTGTTTACATAGGTTTGGTCAACACCGGAAACTTAGATGCTCATTCTGGGGACCTTCCTGGAGCCAATCGCTCCACTCGTGCGTCGAAGCTGCGTCGAACCTGAGTCGAACCTGAGTCGAACCTGCGTCGAACCTGCGTCGAACCTGAGTCGAATCTGAGCCGAATCTGAGTCAAATCTGAATCGAACCTGAGTCGAACTTGAGTCGAACAAGTCCGTTAGGTGGGCCCCGGGAAGGTCCCCAAAACGAGCATCGAAGGAAACGGAAAACAAGAGGGAAGAAACCGCCGAAGCGCTTTTAATAAAACACTCTGCGCTTGTGAGGGCAGCTAAGCTCCACACCCGAACGGGCCAATCCCGGGCGTCCTGGGCATCCAGCTGTCGAACGCGCCGGCCTTGCTGCCTGGTGTCCTGCCAGCGCAAGAGAAAGGGGCCGGCCGGAGGCACGGGGAGGGAGAGACCATAGTGGGCCCTGGAAACGACAAGGCCGTTTTTTTTACTGGTTCCGTTTTGCCGTTTTTTTGCCGGTTCCGACGCCGTTTTTTGAACGGTTCCGGCTCCGGTTCCAATCCTGGAGCCGTTTTTTGGCCGTGTCCAGTCGCCTGTTTTTGCCGTTTCCAGTTTCAAGGGACATTTTTCTGGAAACGGTGAAAAAACGGCCCTGCCGTTTCCGGGGCCCACAAAGGCGCCATCGGCGACGACAATGTGGCGATGATGGCCGTGGCGATGATGACGAAGTCGACGACATCGACGATGACGATGATGGCGAGGGCGGTGGTGATGACGACGATGGTGATGATGACGGTGACATGAGCTGATGGCGATAGCAATAACGACGCTGGCAATGATGAAACGATGGTGTTGATAAAAGTGATGAAGAAGTGCGCGCGCTGAGACACGGAAATTCCCGTAGATTTCGAATGACAAACGCCATTGGGTGTCCCACTGTATTGTTTCCACACTTCTTCGTTGTAGCGCTGAGAAAAACATCGGTGTTACACAAACAATTTGATGTGCGGTCGCGGAGACGCGCTTGCTTGGCCCGCATGGTAAGCCTTGACAAACTACATCGGCGTGATCAAAGTGTCAACCAGGTCTGCAACGGCGGCGATCTTAGGCACAATGCTGAAAAATGACGAGAGATGCAAAGGAACATGCTGGGGAGCACAACCGTTTTCTCTTGTTTTGAACTGAGGTCGAACCTGGTTAGAACATGCTTTCGAGGAAGCACCGCACGTGACTCTGACGTTTCTACTGTTTACTACTGTTTGGACCCGAGATCGAAACTGGTTCGAACCTGCTTCCAAGGACGTCCCGCACTGCAAGCCCACTTGTCGAATGTTTGGAACCGACTTTGAACCTGGTTCGAAACTGGTTTTCAAAGAAGTCCCGCACGAGACGTCCATTCTTGATTGTTTTGGGCCGACATATATTGTTTAATCGACTTTGGAACCCAGTTCGAAACTTTTTTGAGGAAGCTCCACGCTGTTAGCCGTTTTGGAACCGCCCTCCCATTCAGCCTTATAAAATCGAATTGGAGGTACAAGCCCGAGGTTGCCCGCCCCCCGCTGACGCAGCTCCACTCCCGTCACGTTGTACCAGGCTCCGCGCGCCTAACGGGGCACCTCCGATCCACGCTACGTCAGCGTGTCTAAATTGGGCGATCCTTCATCACGGTGCAGTAGGCGTGTGCACGATGATGGTTGATCGTTGCGTATTTTTGACATGCGCACGCGTGTGGCCCGTATGCCCTCCTTTGGCAGAAAGGCCGAAACAAAATCCGCCGATCCTGTCGGCGTGTGTGAAGGGCTTGTCTTAGGTCGAGCCTGTCCCCCTACAGGGGGATCTTGGGCGAAACGTTCAAAATACCCGAAGCATACCCCAGAATGCCCAGACATAGTCAACAGATAGTCCCCAGACTATTTCTTGACTATTTTTTTTGAATTTCCCCCCTGTAGAGGCACAGGCCCGACTTAGGGCTTGTCCGTTCGAGTCGTCCCCTTCGTCAGTCGTTGGTCGTCGTCGCCGCCGGCGTCCTCCCCCTGCGGCCCCCGTCTCCCTGGGCCCGTCGCTTCTCCCCATCGCGTCCCGGGCCCTCTTGGAGGCCCTCCCCCCCTTCCTCCTCCTCCTCCTCCTCCTCCTCCTCCCTCCCTCCTCCTCCTCCTCCTCCTCCTCCTCCTCCTCCTCCTCCTCCTCCTCCTCCTCCTCCGCGGGGGGGGGATCCAAGGGAGGGGGGTCCCGGGGGAGATACGCCTCGGTCCTAGGCCACCCAAATACACGTCGTTCGCTTCTGATCGTGCTCATTTCTAAGTGTGCTCGTTTCGGATTCTTCCTGGCCCCCTGGTGGCCAGGAAGAGGCCCAGGAAAGAATTAGAAATGAAAAGATCTTGGCCCCCAAAAAATCAAAGAGCTCTCGAGTAATTAGACATGAACAATGTGTACGCCTCGGTCCCAGGGGGGGTCGCCACCCAACTGCGCATCCCTCCCAGGGGGTCCCGGGTTCCACAGAAGCCCCAGGAACCCCCTCCCTCTGCTGCTTACCCCGTCGGGGGGGATGGGTTCTCGGGTGGGCCCGGGGGAGACGCCTCGGTCATGGAGGGGGGTCGCCACCCAGATACGCTTCCCTCCCGGGGGTCCTGGGTCCCAAAAAAGCCCCAGGACGGACAAAGAGTGCCCGAAGAGGCCCCCAAGACAGTCCAAGAAGGACCCGCATCGCCGAACGATCTGTCCAAAACGCCTTCACGGCCTCCAGACGACCCATGAGGTCTTCAAAACGCCCCGAGAGGCCTCCAAGAGCACCCCCAAGAAGACCCCCAAAGGCGAAATTAACGAATTCCCCTTCAATGTTTGAAGGATTTGGGCGCTCTGGCCTCTGCCGCTTCCCGACGCTCAAAGACGGCCCCAGAAGCCCCCAATATCGCCCCAAGACGGCCCAAAGTCCTCCAAGAGTTTCCCAACATGGCCCAAGAGGGCCCCAACGGCCCGAGACGCCTCCGAGACAGGCCAAGAGGCACCCAAGACGGCTCCAAGAAGGTGCCCAGAAGGGGGGGACGAGAACGAACATCTCGAGGCATCACCTCCGAAAAGCTCTCAGGAGGCCCCGAGAGGCCTGGAAGACGCCCCCAAGCAGCCCCCAGGAAGCCCCTGGAGGCCCCCGAAGAGCCCCCCAAAAAGGCCCACCAATTTTGCACCAGAGGCCCCCGAAAGCGCCCCGATGACACCCCGACAAGCATCCCTTCCGCTCCCTGCTCCTGGCCCTCCTCCTCCTCCTCCTCCTCCTGCTGCTATTCCTCCGCCGTGTCTTCTTCATCCTCCACCTGCTCATTGCACTTCTCGACCTCCTTCTGCCCCAACTCCCCCTCCTCATCCTCCTCCGCATGCTCTTCCTCATCCTCCCCCTCCTGCTCCACGGCGTCCTCCTCCTCCTCCTCCTCCTCCTCCTCCTCCTCCTCCTGCTCCTTCGTTTTCCTCCTGTTACTCATCCTTTCCCCCCTCCTCATTCCCCTCCTTCGCATCCTCCTCCTCCTCATCCTCATCCTCCTGATCATCCTCCTCCTCATGCTCATCCCCCTCCTTCGCGTGTCCTTCTTCTGGCACTCCGCAATCTTACCTCGACCTCGTCTTTCCAACATGTCTCTCCTTTTCCTGCCCCTCCTCCTCCCCCTCCTCCGCGTCCTCCTTCTTCTCCTGCTCCTGCGACTCCCATTATCCTCGTCCTCTTACTGCTCCTTCCTTCTCCGTCCTCCCCCTGCCCCTGCTTCCCCTCCTCGTCCTCCTCCACGTCCTCCTCATTCCCCTCCTGCTGCTCCACAGCGTCCTCCACATCTTCCTCATCCTCCTCCTCCTCCTGCTCCTCCTCCCCCTCCTCCTCGTCGTTCTCGTCGTCGTCGTCTTCAGTGCCGGCGGCACCGGCCGCTGGCAACTTTGTAGTGAACGAACCAGAGGGATTATGATAGTTGTTGACTGGATTGTCTTGACAATGCTAAACGCCCAAACTGTAGTTTGTTTTTGACGTGCGCGCGGCGGCGCGCGCATGTGACGTACATGGTATTCTGGGAACGGGGCCTGTTGCAAAGCGCACTTGTCAGATCATACCATGTGCACCGCATGGTATTATGGGAACGGGGCTTGTTGCAAAGCGCATTTTTCATATCATACCATGTGCACCGCATCATCTTTGCTGCCTGAGGATGGCGGAGGGTGTCGATACGGGTTGGCTGGATATTGATCGGCGGTGGACAGGCCTCCCCTAAGTAGATTTCCTTTTAGTGAAAACGGCCCAAGACCGAAACCGACGGACCTGGACCCGCAAAAATGACGGCCGCGACGCCCTCTCGCGAACCGACAACGGCCAATTCACTAATCGACGTGTCCGGATAGGAGTTCTGTCCGCCCCCGAATTGATATTGCGGGTGGGCGAGCGGAGATAGCACCTGGCCATCGCTCGGACGTCCATTTCCTGTGCTTTTTTCGGTTTCTTGCGTGGCTTTTTCGCCAAATGATCAAGGATGCTCCTCGATGGTCCTCGCCGAGGAAAAAAAAAAACGCACACATCCGAGCGATGCCGAGAGATAGCACATGAGAGCAATGAGTGCCCCGACGGGCGAAGCAACTTCTGGCCTCGGTGCGGGGGCAGGGCCGCAGTCAGCTTTGGGAACCTGTGTATATATACATATATATGAATATATATATATATATATATATATATATATATATATATATATACGTATATATATATATATATATACAGTCGGGGCGTTGACCTAAGGAACCCTAAATAAGGAACGAGGCCCCTTTCTCCCATACGTTAAACTTCGATTTGCTATCGAAAACATAAGGAAAACCTGAGGCAAGCTGTCAAACACTTAAGGAACGCGGAGCCCCTCCCCAACCAAAAGGGTTCCTTCTTCAGGGCCCCGACTGTGTATACATACACATCGGTCGGAGAAGGTAGGTAAAGCAGGAAGTAGGACGGCGGGTAAAATAGATGTGGTTCAGGCCCTCCCAGAATAATAACACAGACAGCCAGAGCATATCGACTCTGGAAGTAGGAAGGCGCTTGAAGCAGATTGGGATCTGGGAGTCCCAAAATACCTACTTTCAACGACCAGTGTGTACACATACGCGCGGCAGACAACCGAAACGCATCGCGCCTACGAACTCGATTAGCGACCACTATTCCCTTACCCCTTCCGTCGTTTCGAAGACTCGCCCTCTGCGAATTGGCTCCTGGGCGCTTCCGAACGTACACGCGTGGTTCATTCTGGAAGGTCTCCGGACAAGCCGTTGCGGCTGACTCCCTAATGTCTGGGAGAACGCCTCAACGATGCTCTTCTGAGTGCCTCAGATAAGGCCTTTAAGGTTGACGCCCAGAAATCCCCAAACGACATCTATGGATGACTCCTGAATCTCCCGAACATCACGTCGACACTCAAGAAGAAATGGAATGCGAGAGTGAGCGAGAATGAAAGCTGGGGGCCTTCTTGATCTATGGCGACCTCGTGAGTGGGTCGGGACAGATCAACGCCGAAACAGAAATCGTCGCGCCGACCTTACAAGAAACTACTCCAACTTTTTTCAAGAGCTTAGGGACTACGAACGAACCGACCGCTGTCCACCCCGTAACCGTCAGTTTGTGTCAGATGTGCTCCCAGACTTCCCACGACCAGGCTGGGATTTGTTTCCAGTTGGGGATGCACGCTCCGTTGGTGCGAACACACATACCATTCCACATTCCACCACCGTCGTCATGTAAGAGCACGCGTCCTTCGCGCCTTCCACCCTTTCTTCAGCAGCGAACACTGTGGAATGGGAAAGGGGAGCGCCTTTTCTGCCCGATCGTCTTCAACATCGCCCCTTGAGGCCCACCCTGATCCCACAGGAGAGCAACAATAGTATCCCTACAGAGCGTCAACTGAACTGCAATACCCTCCTGAAGACGTCCCCCTCTGGTCTGTAGGCGTCGTTACAAAATCATACTTCCCTGGCCCTGATCCAGATTCCTGGATCGGCTGACAGGGGAACGCGAAGCCTCTTGAAATGTAAGCACACACATGCATATCACATACCACACCCGTCCCTTGAACATGTCACGGTCACCCGTCTCGCCCGCCACATCCTGCCTGAGCGACGTGGGCTAAAGAGCAGCAGCAGGAGCAGTGATCGCAGGAGTAGGAGGAACAACAAAATGAGAAACACAAAAGAGAGATGTCCCAGGCGACCCGGGCGCCCAGATGTCGAAGAAACTCCCATATGGAGAGCTGCAGCGTGACGCCTCGGCCCAAACATTGCAAACCCAAAGCCATGATAGAACTGGCACGCATAAGAATGAATACTCAACCGTGATCGTCTGAAGCTGTGTTTTTCATGCTTACCTTACGTCAACTACGGTCGACACATTCTGGGGTGGGGCCAGGGGCCGATGGGGAAGCAACGTACGCACATGGTTGTCACGTGATTCTAACTCTTCCAGCCAGTTGTTCGACTAGTGGAGGCCTGATACGCCATCAATTTGCAACAGGCAGCGAGAAGGCAACCGGGACTACGTAGCTGATGGACGGCTATTGTTGGTTGCCGCCAAGCAACACGCAATAAAACATCCAGACCACGATTCATCATCCCGGAAATGCAACCTTTCGATCAAGGCGTCGATGAGGGAAAGATGACCTGGGGAGGCGGGCGGACTGCAGGGAGGAAAAAATTGATGAGCTGGACCAGGAGGGGGGGGAAGCAGGGAGCTGAGCAGCAGGTTATTTTTTCTCCAGCGCAGCGAGCCCCAAGCCCCAGGAACCGAACACAGGCAGGCCCAACCGGCAAGACGCGCACCTCCACTCCATGGAGCTATACTATACTTTCGAACATGTGACACAAAGACAGCGAATCGGAAGGACACCAGCAGCACAAGCAGGGCGAGGGAAGCAGGCGGCAGGGAGGAAAGAGGAAGAGGCTAGAGAAGAAAAGACGGATGCACCTGAGCAAGAAGGAGAATGGCAAGCAGCGCGCAGCAGCAGGGGGACGGGAGACAAGTGAACAGTTGGCCCAAGAGATCCCATACGATATATACATAAGCGAAGATCACCTCCCCCGCAGGAAGACATATCGGCATCCAGATGCGGCCCAAGCCAGAATAATCTGTCAGTCCATGCGGCCGTACGGCGAGAAGGAGGAACAGAGAGAGGGAAAGGAGAGAGGGAAAGCAAGGCAGTATGCAAATCAAAGCAAGTACGTGGATGATGTTGCAGGGCAGCGGCTCTGATGCGTTTGGCGACGGCCTCGCCCAGAAAGGAACGGGGGCGGCCCCAGACAGACGGAGGTGCCAATGTCCTGGTCACAAACTTAAAGCAGTTCGCGTCCAAAAGGAAACAAGTGCACTCCACGTAGAGCATGTGGAGTGAGAGAGGGAGAGAGAGAGAGAGAGTGAGGGGCGGAGCCCTCACGCACACGCCCTCAGAACATGCTGCGAACGTATCCCGAGACCTCCTCTGCATCTGCCGTTCATGTCATGCACTACCACCAGATGGCAAGTCCGACCCGCGGGAGGCAAATTGCAGTGCACGCGAGCGGTCGTGGCTCCAGACGGGTACGAGTCGATGCATGCGGCGGGCCACGAAATCGGCGTCTGCTGGAAATTGGCGCCGGCGCCGGGTTGCGCTGGGCTGGCGTCGATGCTGGCGTCGTTGCTGGTGTAGGCGCCAGCGCTGGTGCCAGCATAGGCACTGGCGTTGGTGGCGGCGTCGGTGCCGATGCCAGCGCAGGAGCTGAAGGAGTGCCGGCGCAGGAGCTGAAGGAGTGCCCGTGCGGGCGTCGGTGCACGTGGAGGCGCCAGCGTTGGTGCCGGCGTCGGTGCAGGCGTTGGTGCTGGCGTCGGTGCTGGCGTCAGCGCTGGTGTAGGCGCTAGCGGTGGTGCTGGCGTATGCGCCAGCGTCCATGCTGGCGTCAGAGCTGGCGTCGGCGCAGGCGGAGGCGCCAGGGTTGGTGGTGGGATAATGATGCTGGATGTTGGACCTAAAGCGGGAGCGGACAATTGGAGCGGCAGTGACGGCGATGGTGGTGGTAGTGGGGAGAGAGGTGCGAACTGGGGCGGCAACGGGGACGGATGGGCCACCCACCAATGATGTGCGACACGCCGGCGTCCACCCGGGTTGGCGGGTGGAATTGGCGTGCCAAGGGCCTGCCGTATGTCACTTTCGCGCGTTAGCGGAATGCGTGCGTGCGCACATGCGCACGCACATGCCCCCATGTAAACATAGTGCACATGTGCACATACATATACGTATGTCTGGGTATGTACAGGTATATGCAAATGGTATGTGTAACTATGCGTGCGCATACACATGCGTATCTCAGGCGGTAACGGCCTGACCAGCTGCTGCGGGCATCTCGCAACTCGAAGGTGCGAGGGTCTCAGGCGAAAGTGGAGCACAATAGAAATGGCAGTGGTGAGTTGGAAAATGCGGTAGCCTGAAGAACACACTGAATGCAAGCTCGCACGCGAGGTGGTTTGTCCAACTGGGTGTCGGAGAAAGCGTCTCGAGGTAAACATTGAGCGCAGGAAGCGCAGACGAACGCATCCGCCTTTCCAGAAGGCATCGTTCAGTAATATCAGGTGATCTGGGATACAGCCGAGATGGCTGCGGAAGGACTCCGCAGAACAGAAGTGGGGGAGAGAGGAAAACTGGTTCTGCTAGAATCTTGACGGGCCGGGTGGGAAACACGAACATGAAGAGGACCAGGAGGAGGGGAATGAGGAGGAGGAGGAAGAGGAGGAGGAACAGAAGAAGCGAAAGATACGAGGAGGAGGAGGAGGCTGAGAGGAGGAGGAGCAGAGAGTATACAGAGAAGGAGGAGGAACAGGAGGATAGCGGGAAAGAGAAGGAGGAAGACGGGGAGAAGAAGGATGAAGAAAAAGAAATATTGGAAGGCTTCTGGGGGTGCCATTGAAGCTCAGTGTTGGGAGCCCTGGTGTTATGTAGCGTTTTGGGGCCTCTTGGGGGTCTCATTGGGGCCCGTTTGGATCCCTTCTAGGGCTCTGTCGGGGTTCTCTGGGTCGTCTCGGGGCCCTTTTGGGCCGTCTTGGGGGTCTTGGAGGCCTTTGGCCGTCGTGGGGCTCTCCTGGCGGAGTCTTGGGGCCATCTTAGGTGCCTCTTTGGGCGCTCTTGGAGCTCTCTTGGGCCCGTCGTGGAGCCCTCTTGGGCTGTCTTGGGGCTCCCTTGGATCGTCTTCGGGCTCTTTGGGGGGCCTCTTGGGCTATCTTGGGGCGATCTTTGGAGCCTCTTGGGCCGGTTCGACCTGATGTTGGCCAGAAAAAGGGAGAACCAGAAAAACCGTTGAAAACCAAACAAAAATGACCCCAACGCGACCCTACCTAGAAGTTGGAGCCCCTAGGAAAGCAGCATTAGTTGCTATGATATGCTATGCTATGCTATGCCATGCTATGCTGCGCTATGCTATGCTATGCTATGCTATGTTATGATATGCGATGCTGCGCTATGCTATGATATGCTATGCTATGATCAGCTATGATATGGCATGCTGCGCTGTGCTATGCGAAGCTATGCTGTGCTATGCTAAGCTGCGCGATGCTATGCTATGATATGCTATGATATGCTATGCTATGCTATGCTGCGCTATGCTATGCTATGCTGGGCTATGCTATGATATGATGTGCTGCACTATGCTATGCTACGCTATGCTATGCTATGATGTGCTCTGGTATGCTAAAGCTCAGCGAAGCTAAGATGAAGGTAAGCTATGCTAAGGTAAACCTGAGCTAAGATGAAGCTAAGCTAAGCTACGATGACATAAGCTAAGCTAAGATGAGATAAGCAACGCTAAGCTAAGGGGACGGAGCTGGGGGAACCGCGGGGCGGATCCTGGGGGAACCGCCCGGGGCGATTTACACTGCCCGGCCCTTTAAGCCTTAAGAGGGTAAAAACCCTTCTAGGTAGAGCCTAGGTAGGGAATCAATGACATTTCCCTCTTGGGGCCCTCTTTGGAAACCTCTTGGAGGCCTCTTGGGGCGTCTCGGGGCACCCTTGGACGGTCTTGGGCGGTTTTGGGGTCTCTTGGAGCGCTCTTGGGCTGTCTTGGAGCGCTCGTGGACCCCTCTTGGAAGTATCCCGGGCCGTCTGGGGCGCCTCTGGGACCGCCCGAAAATCTCGGGGAAGGCCGAAACTCTTTTTGGGGGGGGGGGTCTCCGTCCGGGGTCCGTCCGGGGTTCCCGGCCCTACAAAGTATATAAATAGGAATATGTTCGCCTACGCTACATATACATCGTTCTTGTGTTACCATACGCGTTCGAATTCTTGGAGGCGAGACTACAAAAAGTGGTGCCTACCTTTAATCTGACGGCCGCGGCGTATCTCTTGACGTTCTGGATGCTCGGTGGAGGTGCTGATTGTCGGAGTTGGGGGGTCAGAGCTGGTGACGGGACTGGCGCTGGCGTCAGGGCCAGCGCCGGAGCTGGAACTGATGTCGGAGGGGCGGCCAGAGCTGGCATCGGAACCGCGGCACCGGCTGGGGAGTTGGGCGGTGAATCTGGCGGAGGGACGCCAGATGCTGGAGGCGGGAAGTTGGGGTGGTGAGTGGGATTCGGATGGATGTCGGCAGGAGGTTGCCGGCGATATGGGCGCGATGAATATTTGGGCTGGCACTCTGCCAGGGTCCCACTGCCGCCTGCGACCTGTATGGACGGGCATACCCATGCAGCCTCGACGAAGTTCCCCGTCGTCCCTGACTGCCTCGTGGGAAAGCTGGCTCATGAACCTCACGCGGTACTCGAGGTCATCGTTGCCGTTGTGCTGGACGTGATTGCCCACCCAGCACATGATGCACAGTTGCCCAGGCGCGTGGCCATCCAGTGGACACCGCAGCTGATGCTCAGGAGCGCCGCTGCAGGGCAAACCAACAAGCGGGTGCGCTGCCCACTGCGCGCGGCCCGCATGCGGCGACACGCTGTCCAGCGGTGGAGTGTCGTGCTCAAGACCTCTGCCGGAATACGAGGAGGCACCAGCTTGCGCAGCTTTCGTGGGTTCGCGCGCGCGCGCGCGTGTGTGTGTGTGTTTCTGTGTGTATGGCGGGCTTTCGTAGGTTCGCGAGCGAGCGCGCGCGTGTGTGTGTGTGTGTGTGTGTGTGTGTTTCTGTGTGCATGGCGGGCGGCATGGCCAGGTGGGCCTGCTAGGCGCCACCGCGTCGAACGGTGCCGAACTGGGAGTACTGGATCGTGCCGCCGTGGTGCCAAAAGCTGTTTCCCAAACCACCGCCGCGAACATCGTTGGAACTGCCGCCTCTCCGGTGCCGTCAGCGCACCCACTCGTCCAATAAGCTGTCGCCGAGCCAAACCAATGTCGATGCCTGCCCTCGATGCCTCGTGAGCTGCTGCCAAAACATCCGTAGGGGTGCGCTACTCATACCATCCGTGGAACCTCGCCGCGTGGACCACATGATCAATGCTCCCCTTGGCGTCGACAAACTCCCTCTGAAAACGCCTCCAAGAAATGCCACCATCTCCGCGCGTTCCCCAAGCATGCATCCGCAACATGGCGGATGATGGGCAGCAGAAGGGGGGGAGGGGAGGAGGAGGAATAAGGAATGGGAGGATGACGTGGAGGAGAAGGAAGAAGATTAGGGAGAAAAAGGGAGAGGGGGATAATATTATTCGAACTATCGCTGCAAAGTATGATACGTACTGTATGCCTTTCCCAAAGCGGCTGGTGTTCCAGCGGGCACGGAGGTTTCGCGCTTGACGGGCTTCGACTCCAACGCCTGTGAAATGAACGCACGGAACTCATCCTCCCCCTCACCACCCTCCTCATCCGTCCCACCTCACCTTGCTCCCCCTCCTCCTCCTCCTCTTACTCCTTCAACTCGCTCCTCATCCTACTCCTTCTCCCTGTCCCTGCTCCTTCGTCAGGCTGCTTGACTGGGGCCTGGTTCCTCCGGTCCAGCCCGGATGCTCCGTCGAGTCTAAGCCCGGCGCCCTGGACATCGGAGACCCCAGCGCGGACCGTGGAGACCTGTCCGCCTGAGGGATCGGGGCCCCGGGCTTGCTCCCGCGCCTCCCACCGTCCCCGCCCAGGGGGGGGGGAGGACGGGGGCCCAGACATGCGACGTCCTGATTTTTTCAGGACGGCGCCCCTGGAAATCTAGACCCTTTCCCTGGGGCCGGTTTTTCGTCCTGAGTCGTTTTTTGACGGTCCCGAGGCCCGGCGAGGGCCCCCAGAGGCCGAAGATAGCGAAAAACCTCCCGTCCTGATTTTTTTACGACGCCATCATGTCTGGGGGAGGATGGGGCAGGCGGACGGCCAGCGATTCCCCGACGGACTCTCCCCTCAGACGGGGCCTCTGCGCTTCCCCATTTTTGGGCCGGACGGGCGTGACGGTCATCGGGCGCGTTGTGCAGGCGGGGGGGAGGTGGTCAAGGAAGGAGGGTGCGGCCTCTGGCGCGGGAGGGGCGGCGGGGAGATCGGCTGACATTGATCACGAACGCCTGCCGCCCCCAATGTCAGATGATCAATGCGGATTGTCTCAGACCATTGAGCATCTCAGTCGGCGCCACATCCCATCAAACACCCCGCACAGTTCGATAGGAGTATGGAGCTGCTCCAGGGTCGGTCAATCCGAACTCAGCACAGCGAGAATTACGCAACAAACGCTGGGCTCCCGAATCAAGAAACAACGCCCAACTAACGCAGGTCAGATGTGAGCGCATACCGACTTGCACACCTCAAGCCAGGGTGGATGGTTCACACTTGAGAGCTTCGTATCATCCGAGGGTTTCGGCCGCGGGCGGAAGCACGGCGCTGAAACGACGGACGCCACTGCGACCGCTGAGAGTGGAGAATACCCCACAAGCCCGCCGCGCTCCTTCGACTTCGAATGCCCTGACGCCTGGGGTCAGACCCCTCTCTGTCTGCCCCCCCTCCCCTCCGGGCCCTCGGTGCCTCGGCCCCCACTCCTTGAGTCTCCCGCCCCCCATGCAGGCCCCCTGCGGCGAGAATAACAGAAATTGGAATACCAAAGAGAAGACAAAACATTGAATACGAAAAATAATACCAGCCATAAGAATAACAATAAGAATCATGCTAACAGTAATAATGAAAATAATGATGAGCAGAACATAATAATGATCAAAACTAAGAACAATTAGAACAAGAAGCGCAATCGCCAAGAGGAGAAAGGGAAAAACGTATATCAAATCGGTGAGACGACACTCACGTGACGAAGGACACAATGGAACCAAAGACCTGAACACACATGGCCAATATGAAACGGATTCGCACGCACAGGGGCCCTCACTCTGCACGCAGATTGCCCACCTGGCAGACTAACAACAAACTCCTCTCACTGAAATTTCGCTTGCGGGTGTGTGCTGGTTCGTCTGTACAAGCAAAACCCTTTTTGCCGCTGCTGCTGCTCATGCTGGTCGCACGGGAAGCCGTGGAGCGTCCCCCTCCTGCTCTTCCCGGCTATGCTCCCTGGACCACCCAATGCGATTCCTCGTCTTCCCCGCTCCTCCTCCTCCTCCTCCTCCTCCTCCTCCTCCTCTTCCGGCCCACGCGTACGGATTTGCCGGGACCTTGTCATTCGGGGACATGTCCACCTGCGGGAACCACAAAACTATCGGCCAGAACGCTTGCGCGCCAACCACGGAAGATCTGCGCCCTCACGAGTGCAATTACAAGCAGCTGCAGGGCACAGGACATGGGACCGGGAGAGGAAGCGAAGGGGGGGATAATGTGGAGTAGACAAAGACAGGGGGTGAGGGGAGGAGGCGGGGGAGAGGCAAGTGTGGAAGGGTCATCAAGAAGCGGTGGAAGGGTAACTAGGGAAGGTGAGGGGACGTCCATGCGAGGGGGCCTTTGTGGAATCCACCTTTCTGGCTTCCGCACAAACGTGGGGAACTTCTGCTGATGCACCTTATGCGCTTCATAAACGAGGGACGAGGAAAAAACGGTATCGCCATCGGCGGCTCCCGCTGATGTCTACCTTAAACGAACGAACAGCGCACGCAACCTGGCCGAGTCCCTGCTAAACCAGGTCGCCATCTTGGCTGGCGCTTCAGTGAGCTGTACATGTTGCAGCGGACGCACCACCTCGGCAACCCAGAGTGATTTCAATGCCGAGTGCGTCAAGTCATACACGGCAGCTGCTGCGAGCAGACACTCTGTAACCTGCCAGCCATCACGGCTTAGAGGCGGGGGAGGAGGAGAAGGATGATGGCAAGAGTAGCAGCGGGACGTCCGTGCCGAAGGCGCGCCTTGCTGCACAGCGTGACACTTTCAAGCTGAATCGAAATTCGCCTAGCACAGTATCACGAGCTCGCCGACCGCGACCCGGATGAGGAGCCAATGCAAATATACATCACATCACCACAGTGACCTGGGCTCAAAGAAAACTAGCGCACACACGAAGTCTCTCTCTCTCTCTCTCTGTCACACACAAACCACGCACCAAAAAACTGCTACTGCCACGCGAACGCTCGGACAACATATACTGTCAGCCTCGGGAGAACCCAATGGCCGTCCATGGTAACCACGTGATCGAACAACTCGTGAACATCCGTGTCTACCACGATAGCGTCAACCTCGGTGTAATCAATGATGTCCCACAGCCCGCAGAACGGTGCTCCCATATTCTCTGGCTTACAGCGGCAGCAGCACAAGCAAGAGGACGAGGGGAGGACGGAACTTTTGGGCTCCCCGGCCGCATGCTCATGCTTCGAGCATCCACAGCCGCAGACCCCTTGACGAAGACACATCGGGTCAAGATCTGCCGTGGCCCCCAGACCTCTTGGCATGGGAACCTGCACTCAAGGTTGTCCAAACTCCACGTCTCTCTGGGGACTTCGAGGAGCAGAACAGGGAGGGTCCAGGCGGAGGGAGCGCGGAGCACCGCACGGTGCTCCCCGGGGTGCTCCGAGTCCTCCAGGGGGGCGTGCTCCTCCACTCCGCGGTCCACCAGGAACACGAAGGCGCCTGCGGGCGAGCCCCGAGGCCCATGACAAAGAAACGCGGCACGCGGAGCATGGAGAGGCCACCAGGGGTGCGTACCCTCCACTCCCCCAGCCACCCTCGCTTCTCCTCCGAGCTCCTTGCAGACACTCCAGATCATCACCCTGCTAGCTATCATCCGTCGTGTCCCTCCTCCTCTTCCTCCTGATGTGTTTCTTCCTTCGCCCTGGTGCAATTCTCCGTCTCTTCGTCCTCGTGTTCCTGCTGCTGCTGCTCCTCATCATCATCCTTCTCGTACTGCACTCCTCATCCTGAGTCGCATGCACCTCCTCCCCCTGCTACTCATACCCCTGTACTCCTGCATCTACTGCTCTTCCTCGTCCATCCCTCGTCATGAAGAATGCCATGTCAGACCTCTAGACGCGCCTTCAGGGTCTGACCATTCCGCATGGGATGTCCCAACATGTTGCGTCCCAGAGCGAACCAGCTCAAACTGCAGTACACATATGGCGAACGTGTAGTTGGAGAAATCGCGCTTTTCTCGAGGCCTTGCAACATCACCGTAACAGTATATCGTGCTTTGTGCGCTGGCGCATGTTCGGGTGTGGCGTAGTTTGATTGCCACATCGTGTTCGAGATGTTCGCCTAGCGTCAGGACAAAAACATCGCGAACGACGTTCGAGTCATTCCGGTGCCACCTCACATGGCATGGCCATCGGGTCCGACCGCTCAAGCTGTGAATATGTGGCAGGCATGTAGGACCCCAGAATGAGAAGAAAAACACATGTATGCACGTAAGTGTGATGGGTGTGTGTGTGGGGGGGGGAAGGGACAGCTGAAGGCTCCCATCACCGAGGCATTCTGAGCTTCGCCTGGAACTCCTGCTGCTCGTGTTGTTCCTATTGCTTATACTCTCAATCTAGCTCTTTACTACTCCCCCCGGGGGAGCTAAAATAAACCCATGTGGTAGGGTGGCGGCTCAGCCCACCGGAACGAACGCATGCCTGCGGCACGCAAAGTTAGGAATCAATGCGCCTCGAGAAAGTGGCATAACTCGTGGGTTGTCCTGCCCCTGGGGGGGCTCCTGAAGGCAAGGGTTCAGAACAACATGGCCTCGAAACGGGTGGATGCGCGCGCAAGCGCAGCTGCCACGAGCACCATGCAGGATTCGACGTCGGCATCCTCATTATTTGCCCTATGAGTGGGAGGTCGTCGGTCAGATGGGCATCGAGGTGGTTTGTGCTAGGACCGCCCACTCCGACGTCATGAGTAGACCTTGTCGTCGGACTTGACCGTGGAAGAGAAGGATGGCCCCTTAGCAAATGCACTGCCTCATACTGCTATTCCACGTATGGTGCGGCCATGTGTATTGTTCAATACCTCTGCAATAACACATACGCATATACATACATATATATAGATATATACACATGTACATATACGAATATTTGTGATATGCGCGCTTACACGTATAGACGGCAGTTTAGGCACGGACGCTCGTTTAGAAACATATCCCTGGGCACGTCGGAGCCAGGGGAAAGGGGGGGGACCCTAAACATTCGAGGCGCCCAGAGAAAAGGCCTCCCTCCCCCTCCGACACTGGCCTCTCTAACCTCTCATCGCCCCCCCTCCAAGGGAGGGGGGGGGTCGAATCGGGGGGGAGAAGCGGCGAAGGGGGGGGGTGTTCGAACCCGCACTAGAGCTCGATCAAGCTGTAACAGAGTCCTGCTGTAGCTGGATCCCACTGCAATAGCATCCTAGCCGGACTCGGTCCAACTCTAATGGGATCCTTCTCTAGCTGGATCCAGCTCTACTTGGATCCTACGGTCCACCTCGACCAGAATCCTGCGATCGCTGGGTCCAAGTGGAAGAGCATCCTGGTCGGGCTCGGCCCAGCTTTTAGTCTAACCCTTTTAAGGCCGGATCGGCTCCACGTGCGTCCTATCGAAGCTCGATGCAGTTTAGGGAGGGGGAGGAGGAGGAGGAGGAGGAGGAGGAGGAGGAGGAGGAGGAGGAGGAGGAGGGGAAACAGAAGGAGGGGGTTCGATCCGCCCCTCGCCCCGCGTCCGCAGGACCGCGCCCTCTCGGACATGCCAGCGCACGCTTTCGAGGAGGAGGAGGAGGAGGGGGAGGAGGGGGAGGAGGAGGAGGCGACCTCGGACAGGATGAGGGGACGAGATGGGGAGGTCGGTAGGGGGTACGTCGCCCCCTCCTCTTCACCATCCTCCTCCTCCTCCTGCGGCGATCTCACTGCTGCCCTCTATCATGATCCTCCCTCCTTGACACCGCGCTTCCCCCTCCTCGTCCTCTCTGTGCTCCTCAACCCTTCCCGTCCATGCCTCGCTCTGCCTTCTGCCCTCCTCGTCGAGGGGAGGGGCGGGGGGCAGAAGCGAGAGCCCGGGCAGCCACAGCCTGTGAGCACAGACGCTGCAGACAGGCACCCCATGTAACCCATCAGGTTGGCCCACGTCCAATCGTCAGCAGAAGGACCGCCCCGTAGGACCTCGAGCGGGGCAGAGGCGACGACGACAGGGCCGGGGAGGGGAGGGATCAATGAAGGGAGACGAACAGAGGTTGGGAGGGGGAGGTGACGGGATGCGGGAGCGGGACGAGGGGGGGGTGAAAGTGGAGCGATGGCGCCAACTTCCTCGCAGCGCTGCCCTGGCAGGCAGAGGCGGGGCAGGGCCAGCGAGGCGCACCGCACCCCTCGGGCGGCGCTGGACGAGCGGGAGGCGGGGCGGGGGAGGGCCCCCGTCTCGCTCCCTCTCGCCTCCTCCCTCCCTCGCTCCTCCTCCTCCGCCTCCCCACTTCCTCGTCCTCTTCCTCCTCATCCCTCCTGGACTCTTCCTCCCTTCCTCCTCCTCCTCCTCCTCCTCCTCCTCCTCCTCCTTCACTGTTCCTCCTCTCCCCTCCTCCCGGAATCTCCAGACCAGGACGCGAGCGACAGCGTGGGGGTGGGGGTCGACGATGCGAAAATCAGGCATATTGGCATTCAAAATGATGTCGGCATCGACGTCGGGCCTTGGCGCCGTCATGGGCCGTCTCGGGATCCTCTTGGGCAGTCTCTGGAACCTCTGGGGCGCTTGGGGTATTATTGGGCACCATCTTGGGGCCCTCTGAGGCCCTCTTGGGGCTATCATCGACCATATTGTGGCGCTCGTGGGCACCTCTTGGGCCATCGTAGGGCGATCGGGCAGGCCCCTCGGTCCGTCCTGGGCGGCAGGAATGCCGAAAGAGCGAGAACGCCCAAACCAGTAAGGCATGACCATAAGCAAATCAGAATGCTGTGCCTCTGGAGATCCTCTTGGAAGTCCTATGGGGAGGGCTCGGGCGCTCTTGCGGCAGATTGGGCACTCTTGGAGCGCTCTTGGACAATCTTGGGTCCCTTTTCGGCGTCTCTGAGGCCGTCATGTGGGTGTTCAATGCACCGTTTGGAGCCTCTTGTGCCGTCATCCCACACCTCCCACCCGCCACCCTGCACGGAAGCGGCGACCCAGGCATAAGAAGTCCATGGCCCCCAGACACACGCCGAAAGCAGTCAACGCAGCTACCGCCTGGGCTTCATAATGCTTCCAGCATGGCCTAATATTGTACCTGGGCCCGTCCTGGCCCTCTTGAGCGCACCCTGGGCCGTCTTGGAGGCCCTGCAATACCCTTTGCCCCCATTCCACCAGCCCCGCTGAAACGCAACATCATCGCGTGAGCTTTCCCGCCCAAGATGGCTCCAACATTGCATGCACGATGGTCCCACGAAGCGACCAAGCTGGCAGTGCACTAAATGGCCTCTAAGACGGTCTGATATGCCCTCCAAGACGGCCAAGATGACCCCACGATGGTTCCCAAACTGCCCACTATGGTCCCGAGGGGACCTACAATACCCCCGCCAAGCGAAACGTCGCCGGTGGTTCGTAATGTTCGTGTTCTTGCGCTTGCGGGCATCCAAACGCACAAGGCGGCCCCAAGGTCAGCCCAAGACGGCCCGCGAGGGCCACGAGATGGCCCTGGTATGTCCAACGCAGACTCTAGGACAAGGGGGGATCAAACTAGGGTGCGAGCAGCAGCATCGCTGCGGCAAGGCGACGAAGCAGAAGAAGAGGAGCAGGAGGCAGGCAACACAGCGAGGCGAGGAGGTGGAGGTGACGGTGGGCAGCGGTGCGGCCTGGGCTAAGAGGACAGGGGCCACTCTCGCCCAAGGGGGAAGACCCACAGGCCGCTCCCCCTGACCAGCCCGCCCGCAGTCCCACGACAGGGGCCCTCGGCGTGGGTCCGGTGGCTGCCTGGGGGCTGGGGGGGGGTCCACCGTGCGTGGTGGAGGCCTGCGCCTGCCGGGCGGTGGCCTTCTACAGGGTCGCGAGGCGCGCCTCGCCCGCGGTGGGCGTGGGGCCAGGGCCACCCCGCCCGCAGCGGAAGGCGCACGGGCCACCCCTAGCGGCCCGCAGGGAGCCCCCCCTCCCCGGCCAGCCCGCGGCCCCACGACGGGGGGCCCTCACCCGCCGAGGCCGGCGCAGGGGCCACCCGAGCGAGTGACTGGTGGCTGCCCAGGGGGGAGTCCACCGGGCCCGGGGGAGGCCTGCGCCTTCCGGGCGGTGGAGGTTACGGGTACCCCTCATCCCATAACATTCCCTCCCCCCCTCGGCCGTGGTCTCCTCCTCCTCC